TTGTATTAACATACTATGTATTATTATTATACATATATATTAAATTAATTTACTTACTATATTATAGCTAAACTGTGTAATTAAAAATAGATTCCAACAATAAAATCCAATTTTAGCATTAGATGACCATTGAATTAAATACGATATCTATTTATAAATATATGATTCAAATTATATCAATTAATTTTTTTAATTGTAATTTTATAATATATGCATACCTTTAGCAATACTTGTATTGATTTACTATAAAAAACTAAATTTTTACTGACAATATCAATAAATAATTGATATAATAATGTTTGAATAATTTTGAATTTTGTATTAACACTGCTGGCAGATAATATCAGACATGTTATTAAAGTAAATGCCAATAATATAAATATAATTAAAAATATTGCCAATAATTTGTTTAATTTGACAAAAACCAATGTAACAACTAAATTAGATATGACTAAAGTCAAACATATCCAGTAACAAAATAAAATTGTTGACCAATTTTCATTTAGTTTTCTCATTTTTAAATTATACTGATTCAATGACCTTGCTAAATTATGTATATGTCTACGATACTTATATAATGATATTTTTTGATTATTTTTTATCAAACCAAAACTGTTATTGTAAAATGTTTTAAGCTCACAGTTAACTGACAAACAATGCAAACTAAAATATAAAATATGATTGATAAATGTTATTGAAAAATATGTCCATGTATAACTATAGAAAATAGACCAAAATATGCCCATTGTTAATAAATAGGATGGTTGACAATTTAGAAAAAATGCCAACCATACCATACCACCAGTGGAAATGTACATGCTAAATTTCAAACAATGTTGGAAAAGTTTATAATATTTAGCTAACTTATAATTATGACCAATCATTATGCAATCAAACTTTACCAAAATGTCATAATTGGTGATTTGATTATTGTCATAATTTTTACGATGATTAGCAATTAATTTGATAATAAACAATGTTAATAGACTAATTATACGTAAATTAATAAATTGACGTTTAATAGTCCAATAGTGTGTAAATTCACCAAACAATAATGACCAATACTCATTATGATTATTATAAACTATCAATAATTTACATAGTTCCAATAGCATCATGATATTGTTAAAATAACATAATCTATTATTACGATTATAATTGATATTATATTTGGATAAACCATTTCTATAACATGTATCACCAAAAAGATACAGTAAATAGTATATGGTTTGTAACTTTTTATCGCTAGACATTTTTAATAATTTAATATTTAAATTTAGTAAATATAACAAGTATCTAGATTATTTAACAAATAGCAAACAATTTTTTTAATGATGTCCTGTATTATCAAAATGAATTTATTTTCATATTTCATCATATGACATTTTAAAAATTTAATATTTAAATTATAAATATTTTATTATCTTAAATTTAATATTATAGTAAAATATTAAACATTTACTATAATATTAATATATACCGTATTAATAGCTTAATAAATACTGTATATTATAAATGTATTTAATAATGCTTACAAAAACGTAAACTACAACTTGAATAGGAATACAATAAAGTTTATAAAAGTTTAATTTAAGCTTATTTTTAGATATTATATATTGATATAAATAAAAAAAAAATATTTTTTACTGTACTAAAGTTTACAATAAATCAATAAATAAACAATTTATAACATACAGTAGTAATGTATGTTAAATATAATTTAGTGTTTCACAACAATTAATCTACCTGTCCCTGATGTTTAGATCTTTACATTAAATTTTATAATTTTATTATAATTACTAAATATACAGTATGTTCGAGTAATATAATATATTTAGTAATAATTATACGATATTATTAATGTGATAATGCTTGTTTAGTACAGTTAATGTGAAAAATGGATAATTTTATTAATTGTGATAATTTGTTTTTTGTTTTACTGATACAAATATTCACATAAACAGAGAAAGAATGGGAGATAGATTGATAGATAGATAGATAAAAATAAAATAATTAACATTTCGTAATAAATTAATTGTATTTATAAATATTTTTATTATATATTTCTCAAAATTAAACTGTAATTTATATTATTTAATATACTGTAAACAAGTAACATAAATTTATATATACTACTGGAAATTGTTATTATTATCAGATGATATTTTATAATATCCATAAATATATGTTATACAAAATAATTTCCTAACTATACATTAATAGACTATTAAATCAGTCCAAATCTCTTTGAATTGACTTTTTTGTTGTTTGTATTTCATGTATAGCACTTAATCGGCTCATACATTGTCATATCAGAAACAGTTAGGACATCACGATTCACACTAATACGACACCAAATTTTATATCGTAACTATTGCACAACTTTTTAATTAAGACTGCATTTGAAATTATAGGTAACTTATATATCAAAGTAGAAAACATTTATTTTGGTATAACACTTATATATCAGTGAACTTAAAATTTTGAAAAAGGTATACAATATATATATATACAGTATATTTATTTCATATTTTAATTGATTTATGATATATCTTGTAATAATAAGAAGAATTTAATTGTTGTTTTGGTTGTCGTATACATAAACTGTTTACATAAAAATAGTATTAATTAAAAAATAATAATAAATTATAATTATGTAAATTATAGTTAGATAATATTTGTAATAACATTGTGTAATCATAATAAAATAGTTGATTAAATTACTATTGAATTTACTTACTATATTATATGTAAACTGTGTAATCAAAAATAAGTTCCAACAATAAAATCCAATTTTAGCATTAGATGACCATTGAATTAAATACGATATCTATTAAATTAATGATATATATTATGATAAATACTGTACAATATATTATCGATTGAAATATTATATGTAAAGGTATACCTTTAACAATAATTTTGGTGATTTATTAGTAAAAATTAAATTTTTGTCAACAATATCAATATATCTCTTATGCAATAATTTTTGTATAGATTTGAATTTTGTATTAACACCACTGGCAGACAATATCAGACATGTTATCGAAATAAATGTCAATAAAATAAAAATAACCAAAAATATTGCAAACAATTTGTGTAGTTTGACAAAAACCAATGTAACAAATAAATTAGATATAACTAAAGTCAAACAAATCCAGTAACAAAATAAAATTTTTGACCAATCTTCATTTAGTTTTCGCATTTTTAAATTAAACTCATCCAATGACCTTGCTAAATTGTTAATTTGATTATGATATTTAGTCATAGATAACAATAGTAATTTGCTGTCATTATTGTCTATGTTATTATCATAAATTATTTTCAGTTCACACTTAACTGACATACAGTGTAAACAAAAATATAAAACATGATTAATACTGGCTGATGCAAAATGTGTCCAAATATAACTATAGTAAATACACCAAAATATACCAAATGTTAATAGATATGTTGGTTCACAATTTAGTAAAAATGTCAAAGCTACCGGGCCAACTGTAGAAATGTACATGTTAATTTTCAAATATTTTTGAAAAAACTGATAATATTTAGTTAGCTTATAATAATGACCCAGCATAAGATAATTAAATTTTACTAAAATATCATAATTGTTGTCTTGATTGTTAATAATAATATTATTATTATTTGAAATTAATTTGATAATAAACATATTGAATAAACTAATAATTTGTAAATTAATAAATTGGCGTTTAATTGTCCAATAGTATGTAAATTCGCCAATTATTAATGCAATATATTCACTTTGATTATTGTAAAATATTATTAGCTTACATAATTCAAATAGCATTATGATATTTATAAAATAACAAAATTTATTATTACGATTATAATTAATATTATATTTGGGATATCCATACTTATAACATGTATCACCAACAAGATATAGTAAATAATATACAAGTTGTAAATGTTTATTGTTAGACATTTTTTATTTTTTATATATAATTCAGTACCCTATATATTTAAACAGTCTTTAAATATATAAATAAATTTGAATAATTTTATAATTAATTATATATAGAAATAAGTCATTGATCTATTAAATAATATAATTTGTATAAACGATATATAATATAAAATATGATATTAAACACAATCTACAATATGATTTATGATACTTTAATATTTACTTAGTATCTTCAATTATATTTTATTATTTTTTTTATTTTAGTTATAAACAAAAAATATCTAAAATCAATAAGTGATAAATAACTATGAAATAAGTAGAAAAACTTTAAATATACTAATAAATTAGTAAATTACACATTTGGCTAATTGAGTAGTGAATAATGAATATTGTAAAATATAAACTTAAAACAATAAATGTATCAAATTTTTTTTATAAAGACATTGGTAATCAAATTAAATTTAACTATTACAAAAATATCTATAATTATTGTTTAATGTAGTCAATTATTTAAACTTTTAAATTTTAATGCATATTTATGTTTCATTGAAACTAACTATCCCTGATTTTTAAGCCTCACAGTCTAACTAATGATATTAAATACACTAATTTTTTATAATATGCATTATTTCTAACTACTATACTTAAAATATACTTGTTTTTTTGCTAAATAAAATATAAAAGTTCAATTAACTTTTTTTTAGTTATATAATTCTTCTAATATTTTATTTTATACAATAATAAGTTATTTTTAGTTCATAATTGTTTGACTAAATATAGTTAATGTGATAAATGCGTGATTTTAGTTATGTTTTGTTTGTTTTAATTATGAATAAATTCAATTAAAATGCTGCGATACAGATAAATAAAAAAAAACTAAATAATAATAAAAATATAAATTTTAAAAATATTGTCTAATATGAAAATGCACTTAACGTTAATACATTTATACAATATACATGTACCGGTAAGTGCTAATAGACTAATAAGTAAATGTACAGTATATCAATATAACGGTATATTAGTACTTAATATTATAAATTTTATAAAAAACAAACAAAATTGTCAAAAATAATTATAAAATTTTATTAAAACGGATAATACATAGTACTTGAAACGGTAAAAATTTTATCTAATTTGCCGTCAATTGTCTGTTTTGAGTACATTATGGGTCTGTTTACGGTTAACTTTAGTCCAAATTTCTCGGCGATTGCAATACTTTTGAGATTTATATCCCAACAGTGATATTTGACATTTTGAAGCCGATCTTCGGGTAGGAGTTGCAGACATCGGGTGACCAACAGTTCGGCTAATTGTTCGTTGTCTGCATAAAGCGGTCCGACGATTGTGACGTCACAGTTAGCACTGTATATAATACAATAGCCACAGACCTCCCGGCGCTCATTAATAGCGACCAAATTCCAGGTTTCCGGGAAATTGATAACACCTTCTATGAATAGTCTGCGGTCTATACCATTGCATACGTCGCTATCATAATCAATAACACCGGACAATAAATCAGTAGTGATCGGACACACAGTTATCCCATCAATATTTTTAACACATATGTCATCATTTAAGACAACCTTTCCTGTCATATGCACCAGTCGTTTGTGTTTTGCGATCTGAAAGTTCCATTTCTTTCCATATTTTTCGCCCATTTCTTGATCGCGAGGAAACAGTGCTATATTGATGTCACCCAAATAGTCCATAACTTTTTTCCACATAACCGGTCCGATTCCCTGTCCCTGATATTCCGGACTTACAGCGTAACCACCAATAAAGCCCAGGTTTGGTGAAACTTTAATTCCACTGCACGAACCAATTAGTTTTCCTTTATATATAATTCAAAATTCAATTATAATCTATATATTTATTTTATTTAGTTTAATAAACATTTTTTATATATATATATAGATTTACTGTTTAATAAATTATAATTTTATTGTGCAGCAATGTATGATTATTTAGAAATTTAATTCAACTATGATACTGTTAAAATAAATATCAAAAAGTTAAATATTACATCATTAAAATGTGGTAATTTTAATTAAACTAATTATAATTTATTGCTTTCATTTTCGACTAAAATAAAATAGTATTTAAAAATTTATTTAATTTCTATTATCCAAAAACTATATTTGATTATTTGATATCCCGGTGTTCAACCTTTTTCGGTCAAATATATATTCAATTATTTTACTGATAATTAATTTATTAGATATTATTGCTTTATTTTAGTTTTATTATTATAATTTATATGATTGTATAATTTTCTATTATTTATATTTTGTTATAATAATTTGTTAATGCATAGATTGTACTGTATATGTTGAAATTTTATTTAATCAAATCATAATATATAAAATTTTCAATTGATGAAAAAATATTATTTTTTAAATTACTACACTTTATCACATTGTGGTTTCATATCATATATTATTTAAAAAATATATATAATATGTTTAACTTAATAATATAACCTTGATAATATAAATATAAATCCAATGGCAATGATTTATAATTTTATTTTTTAATATAAGTTTTTAAAGAATAATAATCTACTGTTAATTTTACTAATATAAATTAATATATAAATTTTAATGAAAATTTTAGCAAAAAAAACATATTTAATATCATATAAACAAACAAATATATATTACACACCTGTACTGAGATCCTGTGCTACAAACAGACCGTTTGGATCTATACTGATGGCCACTTCGGGCGCCGATTTGAATTTACTCGACTTATTTGAATATATCTGACACCACAGTTCACGTAGATCTGGACAGTCGGCCACTCGTATTGTCCGTACAATGAAATTAATGTTTTGATTACTGTTTGACATATTTTTTATAGTTTTCTTCTTGTTTTTCAAGTTATAACTAATAACTAAATAATTCTTTATTTAGACTAAAAAAATGTTTTTTAATTTATATATTGTTTACTATTACTATCAGTATATAACCTAAACATATAGATAGTGTGATCAACCAATTGCGCATATTATGGGTAAAAGAGGGAAAACATTTAATACATATAATGCTATTCATATGATTATTGATTACACAATTGTATAGTTGCCAATAATCATAAAAAAATAAGGAAAATTGTTTTATAATATTTTCATGTTTTTTATATTAATTGTTTAAATTTAATTTTGTATGAATTTATATATTTAATACTCATTAATTTTTTATGTTAAAATAAATAGCTATTTAGCAAAATTTATCATTTATTTATATATTATTTATATTTTTAGTATACTTTAGATATAATATCAGTTGGGCACTCTAATTTTCTATACTCTATGATCCCATAATACAGTATATAAATTTATACTGTAGTATATATACAGTATTAGGTAATAGGTCTAAATTTTATACTTTACTATTGAAATTAGTATTGAAACATTACTGTAAGTCTAAAATATTTATTTATATTATGCCAATAGATTGCACTCCTTTCAACTCAATCATACAAAAATCAAGTTTGAGTTGACAGTTATCATTAGACTATTAAAAATTATTTAATATAAACGATAATATTTAATAAAATATTTACTAAAAACTAGGAAAATATTTATTTATATTATAGAAATACATGGATTTTTTGTCATTGAAATTTTGAAAATAAAATAAATTCTATTTTATTTTTGCATTGAATTTAAAGTACTATATAAACTACCATGGTGATATTTCAAATTCAATTTTATTAATTAAGTAATTTTTATTTAAAACAATTTCTAAATATTTAATGACTTAAATAATCTTAAAATTAGTTATCGGTTAGCGTGTAGTTATAAAATAATTGTATTTATTGTAATTCAACTATTATAATATTTTTAATGTTCATTTAAATACTACAGTATTACTATAAGCATTATATTCTCACATTATATTCTATAATTTCACAGATATTGCATTATGTTTAGAAAAAAATGTAAAATATATAATTAAATATTTATTATTTATTTACCTTTAAAATGTATTTTATTTTATTAATATTTAATTAAATATTTTTTATGAAATAGTCATAAAACACTTTGTCCACTATAAAAGTGGATGTTCTCTATTCTCTCTCTCTCTCTCTCTCTCTCTCTCTCTCTCTCTCTCTCTCTCTCTCTCTCTCTCTCTTGAATTAAATCGAAATATTGTATTTTGTCTATTATTCTGGAAAAAATTGTTTAAAAACCAATTCATTTGTATCATAATTTAAATTTTTAAACATTATTTAACACAAAACATTTTTCGAAAAAATGTGTGACCATATTATTAATGTAAGAAATATGTAATTTTCATAAATAATTAAATGAAAAAATTATTGTTTGTTTGTTTTAGTTATAGAGAAATTGACTTAAAATAATGTAATAAAGATAGTTAATAAATAATAATAATAATAATTTTAAAAAATACTATATAATATAAAATGCAGTAAAATATTAAACAGGTATATTAAAAATTAATATTATGAATTAAATGAAAAACATTATAAAAAATTGTCAAAAATGATAATAAAATTTTATTAAAACGGGTAATACATAGTACTTGAAACGGTAAAAATTTTATCTAATTTTCCGTCAATTGCTTGTTTTGAATACATTATCGGCCGATTGTATGTTAACTTTAATCCTAATTTCTCAGCGATTTCAATACTTTTGAGATTTATATTCCAAGAATAATATAAAACATTTTGCTGTCGATCTTCGGGTATGAGTTGCAAACATCGGGTAACCAACAGTTCGGCTATATGTTCGTTGTCCGCATATAACGGCCCGACGACTGTCACATGACAAAGGGCTCTGTATATAATACAATAGCCACAGACCTCCCGGCGCTCATTAATAGCGACCAAATTCCAGGTTTCCGGGGATTTAATAACACCGTCAATGAATAGTCTGCGATCTATACCATCGCATATGTCGCTATCATATTCAGTAACTCCCGGCAATAACTCAGTAGTGATCGGACACACAGTTATCCCATCAATACTTTTAACACAGATGTCATCATTTAAGACAACCTTTCCTGTCATATGCACCAGTCGTTTGTGTTTCATCATTTGAAATCCCCATTTCTCTCCATATTTTTCTCCCATTTCTTGAGTGCGAGCAAACAGTGCTATATTGATGTCACCCAAATAGTCCATAACTTTTTTCCAGATAACCGGTCCGACTCCCTGTCCCTGATATTCAGGTCTTACAGCATAACCACCAATAAAGCCTAGTTTTGGCGATACTTTAACTCCACAACAATATCCAATAATTTTTCCTATTTAAATAACATACAATTATAAATCAATTATTTATTTATAATTTTTGTATAAACTATAATTTTATTGTTTTCCAATGTATTATGTATTTATTAAATTTAAAAGAGTTTTAATAGTATTAAAATTTTGTTTAAAAATTGGAAAATTAAATATTATCAAATTGAAATTGGCTAATCTTTTTTACGACTATTTATTACTAATTGTTTAACATTTTCTCTAATAAAAATTTTATTAATATTTTAATTATGAATTTAAATTAACTTATATATAAACAGTAAGTTGTGTTAATAAAATTATTTTTATTAATCATTAATATTGTAATTTTAATTATACGATATTTATATGTAATAATTTTATATATACCAGTGTCGACCTCCTCGGCCACAAATATGCCGTTCGGGTCGATGTTTAACATGACTTCATTAGCTCTTTTGAATATCGATGCCTTACATTGTGGCCATAAATCGCGTATAACATCGCAATCGGAGACACGCATTAAGCGTACATTAATGTTGACTAACTTTATAATGTCTGACATAACTTTTATAATATTTTTTTTTTAATAATTACAGTATACTTATAATATATAATTAATATATAAGATATAATTTAAAAATTATTCAACAATTTTTAAAATTGCATTACTACTGTACACATTTATATACCTAATTTTATTTTGATGATAAGTGAATTTATAGACCACTACTTGTTTGTCAATCTATTAATTGTTTAAAGATAAAAAAATATAAATAAAAAGATAATCGACAACTCACATATAGATAATTTGAAAACTGTTATTTTTTGTGGAAATTTTAGAAAGTATTTTATAAATATAGTGATAAAAATATTATATTTTTAAAAAAATTCATAAACTTAATTTGTTAGTGCATAGTGTACTGCAATTTATGATGAAATTTAATTAATCAATTATATAAGATTCTCAATTAATAAAAAATATACTTCAACATATAGTACTATTCATATAATGATACATGATAATGTAACCTTGATAATGTAAATATAATATAATAGCAATCATTTTTAATTTAATTTTTTTTTAAAAATATAATTATTTATGAATGAAATTAAATTACTTCTAATAATTTAGCTTAAATAAATAATAGTATAAAAATTTAAATATATATAAAATATAATAATAATAAACAAATATATATTAAATACTTATATAGAGATTCTATGCCACAAATGTTCAGATCTATATTGATGGCCAATTCGGGGATTAAATTTTATAATAAGTATATTATAATTATTAAATTAATTTTATATATTTTAAAAGGTTTGACAGTCTATATTTTTGTCAATGCATTTGTTTGGTCTATTTTATAATATATAAATTATATTATATAATTTATACGACAATATTATGGCAATACAATGATTGTCTGTTTGATCTATAATTTATATTTCACTCATAGAGTGCACTCTTTTTTTTAACTGAATAATACAAATAAACATTTGAATTGACAGTCATAAGTAGAGACTTCTATTTTACATTATTAACATAATTTTATTGGTAATATTGATATATGGCTTAGATTTGATAAGTAATATATCTAAATATGACTAATAATATAATATAATATAATAATAAGTAATTTTAGTAGAAGTTAATTTTGCATATTTACATTTAACATTTAATTATATATTTTGTGAATTAACACATATGTACAAATACTGTACAATTTAAAAATAAGATTAAACTAATAATAGATAAATTTAATTATGTTTTAATAAAAACATTAGTTTTAATGAACTAAAAATAATTTATAATATTAGTAATTTAAATTAAGCTAATGTTATTTTTAATTTGTTTTGTAAATTTTAATTCTAGTCAAACAGTATCAGGTTAGTTTTTAGTTTTTTAAATTTTATATTAAGTAAATTCCGGCTTAATTTAAAAAGTTTTTATATTCTCAATGAAAAATACTATTATTTTTTAAATAATTAATTTTATTAAAAACGAATAAATTTATTTTTAGATATTATTACAAATTTTAGTTAATTTAGTTAAATATTATATTAAATATTTGAATACTATTCTTATATATATTGTTAAAGTCTTTACTCATAGGAATAGCAATTATATCATTGAATATGATTTATACAATACTAACTAATCGTTATTAGAAATTAACATTTTAATTATAACATCATTCATAAGGACTAACAGATATTATTTAAACATGTTTTGAATATAATATATGTTTTATTTTTATTAAATTACAAAAAATTATAATATAATGTTTATAAGAAGATAAACCAAATTGTTAAAAATTATTCAAATATTTTATTAAAACGGGTAATACATAGCACTTGAAAGGGCAAAAATATTATCTGATTTGCCATCAATTGCTTGTTTTGAGTGCATTATAGGCCTATTTCTGGTTAACTTTAGTCCCAATTTCTCGGCGATTGCAATACTTTTGAGATTTATATCCCAACATAAATATAAAACTTTTTGCAGTCGATTTTCGGGTAGGAGTTGCAAACATTGGGTGACCAACAATTCGGCCACTCGTTCGTTGTCCGCATATAATGGCCCGACGTATGTCGCATCAGAACATGATATATATATAATACAATAGCCACAGACCTCCCGGCGCTCATTAATAGCGACTAAATTCCAACTTTCCACAGATTTTAGAACACCGTCAATGAATAATCGGCGGTCAATACCATCACATATATTTTTATCATATTCAATAACACCGGGCAATAAATCAGTAGTGATTGGACACACTGTTATCCCATCAATACTTTTAATATGATTGTCATTTAAGACAACCTTTCCCATCATATTCACCATACGTTTGTGTTTTGAGATCTCAAATCCCCATTTCTTGGCATACTTTTCACCCATTTCTTGAGTGGGAGCACACAGTGTTATATTGATGTCACCCAAATAGTCCATAACTTTTTCCCAGATCATCGATCCGATACCATGTCCCTGATACTCAGGTATCACTGAGTAACCACCAATGAAGGCCAGGTTTGGCGATACTTTAACTCCACTACAATATCCAATGAGTTTTCCTATTTAAATAACATTCAATTATAAATTAATTATTTATTTATAATTTTTGTATAAATTATAATTTTATTGTTTTATAGTTAAGTTAATTGACTTATAATAAAAACATTTATGTAATTTTAATTTTACAATACTATAGTACCATAATATATATAAAATTATTTCTTATATACCGGTGTCGAGTAAATGTCGATAAATATTATTGTTTGTGAAAATATTTTGTTTGTATTAAAGAATTTATTTAGAATTTACTAAAATTAGGTAAAAATTGTTACTTAAAAATTCAATATATTAACTATGCCCAAGATTATTCGAAATTATTGCAATTTAACCCCTTATACCCCTTGAGATTGATAATCTTTTGCAACCTTGATTATTATATACTTAATTTTATTCTGTGAGAATTCCCACATAATTAGAAAACTGTTTGGAAATTTTACACAATATTTTCAAAATTATTTTAAAATTATCAATTTATAAAAACAATATTTCTTTTTAAATTCATATACTTTTATTCACTGTACTGTTTATACGATACAGTATATTATACATATCAAACGTTTACTTAATAATGTAACCTTGATAATGTAAATACAATAAAATGGAAATCATTCATTATTTTATAATTTTTTTATTATAACTATTTTTTAAAGTTGTAAATTACTGCTTATAATAAAGCTTAATTAAATAATAATAATATATAAACTTAAATGTGTATAAAATTTAATAATACTAAATATATATATATATATTGTATACCTGTGCTGAGATCCTGTGCCACAAACACACCGTTCGGATCTATACTTATGGCCAATTCGGCTGAATTGAATTTACTCGAGTTATTTGAATACATTTGCCACCAAAATTGTCGGACAGCCGGACAGTCTGTGACACGTATTTTCCGTACAATGAAACTAAAGCCGGGATTAGGGTTTGACATATTTGAAAGTTTTTTTTGCGTTACAAAAAAATTAAATTTTAGAAATTTTATTTACAATAAAAAATGTGTTTTATATGAAACTTTCAACTGATAGATTTTTGCTTTATTATTTCAGCTTTAAGTACAAAAATATATATTTATAAATTTAATATAATCTCTTTATGATAACACATTTTGTTATGACAATGAGTTTGATTGATAGCATATTTTTAAATTAATTTTTGTAACATTTTAAATTTATTATTTATAAAAATTTACTAAATATTTTTAATTATTTAATACATTTTAAGTGTTGATTAGTTTGTAACAAAAATTTTAAACAATGTTAAATTTTAGTTTGTCATAATGTTAACAACATTATGTAAAAAATAATATTTATTGAACTGAAAGCATATTATATAAAAACTATAAAATATAACTGTATACTTGTATACGATATAACTGTATTTTTTAATTAATTATTTAATAAATTGTATTTTTAGAAAACATATCATAAATTTTTTTTGTTTGAAAAAATTATTTATTAATATACTATTATTAAATTACATTAATAAATATAAATATATAATATTTTTTTTATTAGATGTCGTAAGTATATAAAATGCTAACACATAAATGAGCATGTGCAATTAGTGTATTGTACAATGTTTACCGTAATATTTTACATGTTTTTAGAAAATATCTATTTGAAACGTATATTACTATATTGTATATTATTTACAGTACATACTGTAATATATTAATTGCATAGCTAATAATGAGTCATAAATAATTTATTTAAAAATATATTATAACTGCAATGAAATGCATTCAGTTATTAGAAATTAAACAACTATTAAAATTTGAGTTAAACTTAACAATTTAAAAATAATTTTAAAAAAAATTGTATAATAAATAAATTGTATATTAATAATATTAATACAGAATATATATTTAAATTTTTACATAAGTGTTTAATCATCGCTAAAAAAATATGCCAAAAACATTGATTATAGTGATTCTGGATGAAAGTGGAAGTATGGGAAACAAAAAGAGTGATGTATTGGGTGGGTTCAATAGTTTTGTGTCCGATCAAAAACAAATCAAAAATGATCATGCTAGATTGTACATGGTCAAATTTAATACTACAGTTTCCATTGTACATAAAGGTTTGTATTATATTTTTTTAAAAAAAATTTTGCAAATAATTTTTTTTAAACAAAGCTAAATTAAACAATGTTATAGCTAAATATCACATTTTTATCATACTAAAAAAAGATAATACTGTATATTTGTGATTCATATAATTGAATACTTTATAATATACACTGTGTGTGTATTATACTGTATTTTATTGTAATCTTACTTATTATACGTTTAAAAGTTAAAATGCCTAATGTTGGTGATGTAATTAATAAGCAATTCATGATTTTTTTTATGTTTGTTTGTTTGAAAACCCACATACATTGATAATACAGAATCTATAAACTGTATAATATCTACAGTATTACAGTATAATGTTATTTACACAACACTACATAATTATTTAAATGTGCATAAATATACAATACAGTTATTATACCAATTATATAATACAATTAATTAAACATGACCATTAAAAATATATGTATGTTACTACATGTATTACATATAAAATATTATACAATAAATAAATTATATACTGGTATATTGTCATATTGTACAGTAAAACTATTGTACATAAAATAGTAATTGTTTAATCTTATCTAATTTTAGTTACACAATTATTTTATGCATTCAATGATATATATATATATTTCAGTAACTATGAAAAATTATAATTACCATATTTGGTTGTTTATGTTAGATAATATTTTATTTTGTTAGTATTACATTGATAAATTATTGTTTTTCTATATATTAATCTTTATAGTAGAGTCTATTCTATACTATACACTATACTATACTGTATACAGTATTAATATTTATTGTTTTAATCATTTTAAAAAATATTAATTTATAATTATTTTTATTGTTAAAAAAAATAATTATTGATTTCTAATGAATTTAAACTTTTATATTTGATAAGTACTAATATAAGGTTTACTGTTTATAATTAAATCTATTGTCACAATATCACTACCAAAATATAAATCAACTAATTTTTATTATTAGACAGATTTAATTTTAAATTTAGTACAACTATTTATTTTTAGAATAATTTATTTTTGTAAATATTTATTTTACTAAAATTATTACAGTATATACAGTACAATAAACTTAGATTTATTTAATATATTTAAGTCATGTTAATGTAAACAATAAAACGTATTTATGGTAATAATTAATTAATTTTTTGTTGACAATTTAGGCATAGACTTAGCCAACGTACCTGAATTGACAGCAAATAACTATTTGCCGGGAGGTATGACCGCACTGTACGACGCTATAGCAGAGGGCGTACGACTTGCCGATAGAGACAAGAAAGACGATGAACGGGTCATATGTGTTATTATGACCGACGGAGAGGAGAACTCCTCTCGCGAGACAACCAAACAACAGGTAAAAGATATCATAACCGGGTATCAGAATAGAGGCGACTGGACTTTCGTCTATATCGGTGAAAACCCGGACCGATGGAGCCGTGACGCCGGTATGTCCGGTGGCAATGCCATCAACTATGATCACGTGGACACCCGACGCAACTATATGATGGCCAATAGTGCCGTTTCACAGTTTCGCAAATCACTGTCCAAACAGAGCAGCAATTTGTTGTCAAATTAAGTATCGATATTACTGTATTGTAAAAACATATTTAATTTAGTTATTAATTTGGTTTTTTAAAAGATTGATTAATTTTTATTTAAAATAATTTGTATATACAATATATACTTAATTTTTCAAATTATTTTCTAATGTTAAATAATTGTATCCAACATTAAAGTTTTTAACAAATAATTAATTATTTTATGATAAAATTGTTAATGGGTATTTTTTAAATTATGATTAATTCAATGTGAGCTTTATATTATTATTAGTAATTTTTCATTTGAGTCATACAACATGAATCATCATTATAAATTATAATTATGTAATTAAATGATGATTGATTGATATATTAATATTTAATTTTATACCATATTACTATAAATATTTAATTGTTTAATTGTAATATGACTATTATTTTAACAACTTATTATTATAAAATATAATATTACAATATTTATTTTCAATTAGATCTTTACATTCATTTGTATTAAAATTGAAATTATCATTTAAAAATGAATATTAAAGTTTAATTTACTATTAAATTCATAATTTAATTATTATATAATGCAGAATATTTATATAAATATTCACATAAAGTATTTATAGTACCTGTATGTATTATATATAATAATTAATATTATAATAATACTATATTATACAAGTATATTACTGTTTAAATAAATTTATAATTATGTACTATTTAAAAAAAATATTTTTATGATTATACTATCTTACAATAATTGTACAATTATTTCTAAACTACAATTTGTTTGCATTTATATTATACAGTATATATTTATAATGTTTTATTCTATAAAAATTAATATTTTATAATCATATAATATTCAAATATATTTTATTTACATTTTATTCAATATTAATATTGTATATTTTATGTAATTTTACTATTTTATTGAAACTCAATTATATTGAATATTTTAATAATTTATATATTTAATATTTTTCTATTTTCTATTTAGTATCATTTAAAATGAAATATTATTATAATTTTACATATATTAATATATATATAACTTTATATATTGCATTTTTGTGTTTACATTATAACATTAAAAAACTATTATCACAATTAAAATAATAACTTACTATTATTATTGTTAATATAAAGGACTCATTAGGTTTTCAAAACATTAAGTCAATATATTAAAAATATAATTATATAATAAGATTGCTTTGAAACTTAAAATTCACATTTAAATTATCGTTTTTTTTGTTAAATGAAATAATTGAATACAAACAACAAAACAACAAACAATTAAAGATTATTTTAATCCAAATCTCTGAAGCAGTGTTTTCTTCAGCTTATATTTTGAGACCCGATATTTGGTGACCGTATTAGAGATATGTTTGAATGTAATTCGCGGTTCATTATAGTTGTATGAGATTCCCATTGCCGCAGACATACCGACCTCTTTGGTCCAACGGTCGGGGTTTTTGCCGATATAAACGAAAGCCCAGTTGCCTTTGGACTCGTACTGAGCCAACAGTCGCCGAACCTGGTCTTTGGTCGTATCCTTTGAACAGTTTTCTTCGCCATCAGTAATGATAACACAAATCACTTTCTCGTTTTCACTGTCAGTCATGTCTTCTTCAGCAATGTATATGCCTTCGGATATGGCGTCAAATAGTGCTGTCCGACCACATGGCGTATACATTGATGGTTTCAAGTCGGGCACGTCTTTAACGTTTATTCCTAAATTTGTATTAAAATTAAAAAATAGTTTTTGTCACAAATGTTTTTAAATTTTGTTTCAGATTTATGGGCAATAATAAAGAAATTCAGAGACAGGCAGAGAGAGAGAGAGAGAGAGAGAGAGAGAGAGAGATTGTCTACGTTATTGGGACACAACTGACCTGAATAGACAATATTGACGTTTGTATTAAATTTAATTAAATACAGTTTCGATGAATCAGTTTTCAGACGTTTTTGTTCTCTAAGAAATGTATTGAAACCTCCGATGACTTCGTGGCGTTTCTTTCGCATACTTAGAGACTCATCTAAAAGGATAATAAGTTTTGTCTTCATTTCTATTATGATTGATAATTCTTATGGGCATTGATTGCAATACTGTATACACTTTAAGTGTATACTTGTATTTATGATAGATATTAACAAAAGTGCACAAAAATTATTTGTATTATTTTTTTTGCTAACTTTCCCGATGGATAGTTTGACAAACAATTGACAGTAAAGTTAGGTAAAAGTGATACTTTTATACGATGTTTGGATGTTTGACTAAAATAAGTTAAAAAATATCATAAAACAAAAGTTTTCTTTTGTTTAATCAAAAAACAAAATAATTATTTAATTATGTAATAAAAATATATATATATTATCTTTATTGCATAAAATGATAAAATTAATTAAATAGTTTAAATTAAGAAAATTAAAATATTAATAATTTTATATATACTGTAATAAATATACCTGTACATGTTTATAATATGTGAGATTATAATTATTTGATAAACACGTGCTATATTTATTGCTAATTATAACTTTATATATAAACATATTTACATGTACTGTACAATATATACTGTACTACGGTATATACTGTACAGTATATAATTTTATTAATTATTTATAAAATAAATCTAATTATCTAAAGATTTATTACAATTATTTTTATTGTTGATATGTATTTCAATTATACATTTGATTCATTTGATAATATTAGTTATGATATCTAATAAAATATTTTGATTATTTATTTGTTTCGATAGTAATCATGTAATATAAATTATCAATAAAAACTTATAAAATCTAAGAATATATAACTGTAAACTTTATATCATTGTTATGATTTTTTAATAATAATAATTAATAAATTTGTGTCAAAATCTGATAAATTATTATTATTATTATTTTTTGTGTACTTTATTTATATTATTACATTATATATAAAACAAAATATTTATGTTTTTTATATTTTTGTTTATATTTTACGGTATATAAAAATTGTGTTTTGAAAAAAAAATTTTTTATTATTAAATAAAATTATTTATTAAATGACAGTTTTTCTAACCATTTAAACAAATAATATAATTAAAAACTTTTATTAATTAGTATAATTAAATAGTTCTAAATTAAGAATATATAATAAAAAAAAATTTTTATTATATTATTTAAGTAATTATATTATTATTAATTTAAATATTAAGTTATTATTAATTTACTTACATTTAAAATAAATTTTATTATTTATGATTCCATATCTATTATTATTTGATTGCTATATAAAAATGATATAATCTTTAATGACTTTGTTTTTAAATACTTATCTATATAATTAAGCAATTTGTTATGCAATACTTATATTATATAAATTATATAACAGTAAAAATTGTAATAATAAATTAAATATTTATTAACATTTTTATAATATAGTTTATACATGTATATGTTCTCTAATATTTATTTAATATTATATTAAATATACAGTACTGTATTAATATTACATTATTATAATAATCTTAAAGTTAGTAAAATAAATTAAATATAATAATTTATTAGTTTATTAGTGTAATATTAATTTCTAGTTTTTGTCATATACAATTTATAAAGTTGACAAATAAAACAGTAATCAATTATTTTATTTGCGAAATATTTTGCAAATATTTTGATTATATAATATGTAAAAAAATTTAAAATATTTTTATTGTCTTAAAAATATTATTTGATTATTACGAATTCTTGTTAAAATATTGACATTGATAAATTTATTAATTAGTTAATTACTTATGATTCTTTTTTTAAAATTTTATATTTAGTCATAAAAATCTAATAAACTGTACATGTACAGTAATTATTAAGTATAATAAATTACACACTTTTTAGTAATTAATATTTATTAATTAATTTTTTAAAATAAATATTTTGTACTATTCCATGAACTATATGATAAAATATATAAAATTTATTACATTATTGTTTTTACTTTTATTTTTTTAAAAAGTCATCATACTGTGTATTATATGTTACATAAAACATGTGTAGATTGTAAAATATAAAGCATTTTAAATATTAATTACCAGTGCAAAAGTACATGTAGTTTGTACTGAACAACAAAAAAATTATTAAAACTTATTATTAGTAGTAAAGGTAGCTCTGGATACTGTGCGGTCGGATTACATGACTGAGCAATTGTGAGCCATCCCTGATGTTAAACTCGACCAATTCGTCGCTAGTGTTCAGCACTACAACAACTAAACCGCCGTCCGGTCTCTGGAAGACAGTTGTGTGCAACTGATCCCATGTTAGTGACTGTTGGGCATCGATACGAACCGAATCGGGCAAAATGAACTTGGTGAAATGACCCAAACCGTAATAGGATGGCTGCTTATAGTAGGTTTGTTTGCTCGGGTCCACAATGATGGGCGCATCAGCCGCCAGGTTAGCCCAATTTGGTCCGCCCTTAGGGTTGAGAGCCATATTCCATTGAACCCAACCCGCAACCCAATGATTTAGATCCTAAAGTTATCCAAATTAATTAAGTTTATTATTATTTTATTAAATTTTAATTAATAGATTTATCTTATAAATTAGTGTTATTTGAATATGAATTAATAATTAGTATATTTGTAGAGGTATATATATATACTGTAAATAATTAACTATCATTATAGATGAAAAATTTTCTATTATATTATTGTAGTCATATAACTGTATCGTTTATTTTTAATTGTCTACAGATTATAAGGTTGGCACCGGTATTTATCTCATATCAAGGAACATATACTTACTGTTACTTTATTATGTAATGTTATCTCAAGTTAATAACAAAACAAAAACAACAATATAGAAAAAGTGAAAAACATGATAAAACAGTGCACCTATACTCACAGTGATAATATCTCGTGCATCATTTTCCAGGTTATTCCAGTTTCCCAGATCGACACCCTTGTTAGGATCGGCACCATTGCTGGCCTCTGTGTTCAATATGAATTTGCTTGGATCCACGTTATGGGCCTTTTCTAGATTACCTAAATTTTCGTTTCTATTAGCATACCAGTGAAACGCTGTACCGGTAGTATATTTTGCCGCATCCTTATCAGGAAATATTGTTTGGGCCCATTCGTGTATTACGTCCCGTTGGTCGTCAAATATTAGTACATTGAGTTTGTCTGCTCCCACCTGATAGCCGGCAGCATCCAGTGCTGGTCCCAAATCTTTTTTCAGGAAATCTCGTTGCAATTCTTTAGTAAATCCCATACTATTGAAGCCATAGTTGGGTTGGTTGCCGGCCGACGGCTCGTTCTCGATAGTGATGCCCCACATCGGCAATCCCTCAGCCTTATAGGCGTCCAAAAATCTGGTCGTTTAAACAAAGGAAAGCATATTTAATGTTTAAGTTTAATATTATATCAATGAAACACATACTTAATAAAATATTTGGCAAATGTCTTATAATACTGTTCCCCTGGGTTTCCCTTTAGATAGCCTCCGTGATTGATCTGATTGTTGGTCTTCATCCAGGCCGGTGCAGACCACGGACTACCAAAAAACTTTTGCTGGTGTGGACTAACCTGTTTGGCTAATTTCATGTATGGGATCTGATTGTTGTTGTATTTGTTAAACAATCAATTGAAAACAATTTAAAAATTATAAGTCACTAATTATATTAGAAATTATTTGTTACTTTATATTTCTTGTCCTCATCGGTCAGAGTCCAGTGTTTCAAATCAAAGTCGCCGTTTTGGTTGTCATCGTAACTGTAGGCTCGGAGCGAAAAGTCTGCGCCACCGATCGGCAGTCGGTTAAGATTATACTCCAAACCGTTGGCCGAAAAATAGTCGCGTATTACGTGTTCCTGTAGTGATTGCGGCAATTGGGAGATCATATAACCGGTAGCGTCGGTGAACGAACCGCCGAAACCGACAATTTTCTGAACTTTCTTATTCTTATCGATGGTTATGGTCTGCGATTTGGTGGGATGTTCGCTGTGATGGTCACCAAACTTGAGGTTTGTCTGTTTAAATCGGTCGCCATTACGACTGGTCTCGAACAGTGTGATCACACCGGACGGTGTCTTCTGTAACGGATCCAAGTCATCACAGTATGACGTATTGCAGACACACACTATCGATCCCTTACCGAAATCTTGAGGATGGCATAGATTTCTTGAATAGACTGTATAAAATCGGTACAATAGTTGCCAAAAAAAAAATGTTTGTTAGTTTAATAATTGATGGTTTTAGTTTACTATTTGAAAATTCATACCCAAAGTGGCCAAACTTAACGATAATAATGTATTAAATAAGTAATTCATTGTTTTTTAAATAAATTGAATGACAACTAATCAGTGAACAGTTGTTGAATTGTGATCTACTTTTTATAAGACATTACTGTTTGTTATTATCATATCTATGAGAAAAAACAAGTACTAAATGACATATTTTTTAAGAATATTAATTATTGTTTAATTTATTGATAAAAAAATTTAGGCAGACTTCTAGCACAGGTAAGTTTATATGTACTATTGATATCTTATTGAGATTATTAATTTTGTTTTCAATATATTTTTCATTTCACAAAACTACAAAATTAACAAACTTTGAAAAACTTTTTTTTTAATGTACTTAACAGATATGTACTTTTTTTATAATAGATACACTTATTATTTGTTAATTTTTAAAAATATTATATTAAGTATTGTCTATAATTTTATTCCGTATATTTTGTAATAATTTCAATTGAAAATAATTATTAGTAATTAAAATAAAAAATTTTATCCCAAATACAAATGAAATTCAGTATTTAAAATATATTTTAATAAAACAAACAGTACTACTGTACAGTATAATTCACTTTAAATACTTGTAATTATAAGTATTTTATAATAAATAACTTATTTATAAAATCATAATAACCGGTAAACAATAACTTATTAAGAAAAATAAATCGAGATTTAAAATTAATTAATTTTATTTATGAAAAACTATAATTATTAACTAATTTAGACTCAAGAATGTCGAATAAAAAAAATCTAAAATGGATAGACATATACATTGCATATACAAAATTGTTTGTCTATCTGTGCATTAATAGACTGTTTGTTGAATAGCGCCGGTCTATCCAATTGATAGGTGAGTCCCAATCTCTTTGCAATAGTAATTGATTTTTGGTTTGTATTCCACGTATAGTACAGAAAGTTTTCTCTCCGTTCTTGTGGTAACAGAAGACAGCATTGACTGAACAATAACTCTGCGATATCTTCATTGTCGGCATAAAGTGGTCCACACATTGTTATTTCAGCGATAGCAACATAAACAATACAATAACCCACGACCTCCTGGTTCTCATTAATGGCCACTAGATTCCAAGTATCAGGACTTTTGATAACTTCATTAATATAGTCCTTTCTGTCCAAACCGTTTGTAACTATGCTATCATACTTTGATACAAGTGGTAACAATTCATCATTGATTGGACACAAAGTTATGCCATCAATGCTTTTGACGACATTATCGTTGACCTCAACATTGCCCGCCATATTGACTACTCGTCGATCGGGTATAAACTTGAATCCACATCTTATTTTATATATATCTCCCATTGTATCGCTGACAGCAAACAGGCCTACATTTCTATCTCCCATATTAGCCATAGCTGAGGCCCACAGTGATTGTCCGACACCTTTTCCTCTATGCTCAGGTAGTACACAATAGCCGCCAACAAATCCTAAATCGGAGGCTATGTTGACTCCGAGACAAAATCCGATAATTTTTTCTTAAATATATTAATTTTAGTATTAAATTTAATGTTTATTTAAATTATTATTACATACCAGTGCTCCGATCGATGGCCACTAATACTCCGCTCGGAAATATCGTACGAAATATTTTCGGTCCGTGTCTTAAGCCGTGTTTAAAACCGCCGGCTCTTAGCATTTGTATGACGGCATCGCTTTCCGATAATTGCATTTCGCGTACCGTATAATCAACTAAACTATTTTCACTCATTTTATTTAATATAATTACAAATTAAAAAAATAGTAAATGACAATTCAATTATATATATAAATTAAGTTTAATTTGAACAATTATTTAGCATAAACTAAAAAAACAATAATATATATATTTTTAATAAATATACTAATTTACCAATTAATTCATACAGTATTTATATACTTAGTAATACTATATAACTTTAACATTCATATAAGCAATATTATAATTATAATATTCAATAGTTTTATCACTATGGTATATACTATAGATAATTTAGAAAATAAAAACTAAATTTTACAGTAAGATATTACTATTAGATTGTAATAATTATTATTAGAAAAAATAACATGTCTCAAAAATATACACACAAAAATGTACAGTAGTTTTCAATGTATTTTAAAAAAATGTGACGTTACTTGTTTTAACATATATTTTCATATAATATTACAAAATATATAACAGTTTCAAGGTTTTTGAAAATAAGATGAATAGCTGTCTAAAATATTTTTGACAATTCTACCCAAATATCTATGATATACAGTATATCATATAAATGACATTGACAAACATAATCATAAATGATAATTCAAAATTTAATTTTTTCAATAGATTATAAAAATACTACTAAAGTAGTGTTTTTAAAAAAAATAATAATATCATTATTACTTTATTAAATTTATATAATATTCTAAGTTATTTTGAAATTATTAATTTAAGAAAATATATAATGTATGGAATATTTTTTTCATCAAAAATTATCTACTATTGATATATATATATATATTATTAATTATAAAAATCAAAATGGATGAACATATACGTTGGACACACAGTATTGCTTTTCTGACTGACCATAAATGTCCTCTTTGTTGAAAAGAGTAGGTCTTTCCCAATGAAAGTCGAGTCCCAATCTCTTTGCAATACTAATAGACTTTTGGTTTGTATTCCACGTATAGTACAGAAAGTTTTCTTTCCGTTCTTGAGGTAACAGAAGACAGCATTGACTGGTCCACACATTGTTAGCTCAGTCACAGTAATATATAGTACACAATAGCCGACGACATCCCGGTTCTCATTAATGGCCACCAGATTCCATGTATCAGGACTTTTGCATAGCTCTTCAATATAGTCTTTACGATCTAATCCTTCGGTGACTTCTGTATCATATTTGGCAACTTTTGTTAGCACTTCTTCATTAAGTGGACATAAAGTAATGCCATCAATATGTTTGACTACATCATCGGTGACTAGAATTTTGCCGGTCATATGTATGAGCCTTCTATTGGGTACAACACTGAACTCGCATTTTGTTTTGTATATATTTCCCATTGTATCGCTGACAGCAAACAGGCCTACATTTCTATCGCCCATATTAGCCATAGTCCTGTTCCAGAGTGACTGTCCGATTCCCTGTCCTCTATATTCTGGAAGTACACCATATCCGCCAATAAATCCTAATTTTTTCGACACATTAACGCCAACACAAGCACCGATAATTTTGCCTAATATTTAATAATCAATATACAGTATACGCTTTTCAGATTATATTATTTTATCATAAATAAATTAAATTTATTAAATAAATATTTTTCATACATACCAGTGCTTTGATTGTCAACTACCATAACTCCACAGTCAAACACTTTATGGTATAATTCTGGCGACCATTTGAAAGCATTGACAAACTTGATATCTGTCCACAATTGGCGGACACTATCGGTGTCTTTCAATTGCATTTCACGGATAATATATTTTGTCATATTTTCGGCGCTCATTATTATTATTAAGAAATGAAAATATTTTAAAATAAAATATTATTATTTATAAAAAAAGACAAAGTAATGAATTTTTTTTATTTTGAAATAAATGTGATTAATGTTTGCAATTTATAGTATTTTCATTTTATTTATGTAAATTTTTTTAATTAAAAAATTATTAAAGTACACAATGCACTTATCATTTGATAATCATTTATTATTCTAAAAAAACAAAACATATTTTCACTTTTTTATTTAATCAATAAATATTATATCAGTTTTATAACTAAATATTACATACATTTCATAAATACTGTTTAAATAACATTGGCTTTCATGTAATATTGATAAGTAATTGTATTGATATTAATAAATTTAATTTGATAAAGTGATAAATATTAAACTAATAAAATTGAATTAAAATTTTATACCCAAATCAGATAAACTAAAGTGCTGTCTGCACTTAATATTAGAATTGTTATAAATTGCTGCTAAATATTATAATTAATTGGTTTACACTATTTTAGATTTTAATAATTATAATTAAAAATAATTTTTTAACATTTAATTTTTGTTAATAAGTTGCAGACATAAAGTGATTAACAGTTTTGGTCACTCGTTTGTTGTCATAAGACTGTCACACATATCATACAAATTATTTTAAATGTCTATATAATGCTTCGCGGATAATATATTTATTTATATTATTACTAATCAGTTTATAAATTAAATATTGGCCATAAAAATACTAAAAAATTATTAAAAAATAAATTTGAATTAAATTGATCTGTTCATAGTTAAGTTTAATTGTTTATTTTAAATTAATACAGTGTACTTTAATATAGATACTTTAAATTAAATATAACAACAAATAAAACTACAATATAGAGTAATTTATTTTAATAAGTTTCTATAAAGTTTCCTAATTTTTAATGTTTTTAGTATCCAACTCTTACTGTATAACATTATTTTGTATAAATCAATTGAACAGAATTTGTGCTTCAAATTTATAAATGCAATATTCCAGCAAATTTACTATTAATAAATTTACAAACATTTTATAATTTGAAAAATATCAAATTAAAATTGTAATTTCTTAGTTTATAATACATTTATTTATCAAAATCGACAGAAAAAATATAATTATAATTAAGTTGAAATAATAAAAGTGCATATTTTAATAAAAATTTATATTATATTTTTATAAAAAAATTAACAGAAAATATAATAGTTTTTGTATTAAAAAGGATACAAAAAGTTATCAGAAATGCAAAATTGTTTATCTATATGTTGTCCCTCATAGTTATGTCGTGTCAGTAGAAATGGTCGATCTTTTTGATAGATAAGTCCCATACGTTTTGCTATGTCTATTGCTGTTGGATTTGTCGTCCAACACGTGTAAAGTATGTTATGTGTGTATTTGGATGGCACGCTTTGAAAGCACGCGTTAACCAAAAGCTCGGCTATATCGGCACTATTGGCATACAGTGGTCCAACTTTGGTGACACCCAAAACCGTTGCATACATTGCAACATAGCCTACGACCTCACGGTGTTCATCAACAGCGGCTAAACACCACGTATCCGATGCTTTGCTCAGCTCTTCAATGAGTATCCGTCGATCTAAACCATCGCATACATGAKCATCATATTTGACTATTGTCGGCACTATATCTTCGGTAAACGGCTGCAAAGTTATGCCGTCAATAACTTTATTGACAACACTATCGTTGACCACCACTTGACCAGTCATATGAACCAATCGTCTATTGGGTACATAAGTAAAGCCGCATTTAGTCCGATAAAGTTCACCCATTTTTTCATTGAAAGCAAACAGACTGGCATTTCGGTCGCCGATGTGGTTCATGGCTTTGGACCAAATTGCGTGTCCGATGCCCTGTCCCTGGAGTTCCGGTTGTACACAGTAGAAGCCAATGTAGCCGAGATCATGTCGCGCGTGGACACCACGACAAAAGCCGATAATTTTCTCTTAATTTTGAATATTATTGTTAAAATAAAGTAAAATATTGTTATTATAAGTGATGCTAACCTGTGTCGACATCCTGAGCTACAAATAGTCCGCTAGTGTGGACACGCCTGTAGATACCGATACCGCATGACATCGGCGAAAAGCCTACCGTTTTCCACAAACTCTGTAGCTCTGCCTCATCGGACAGTTTCATCTCACGTATAACAAATTGGACGACTTTTTTGGTGGTCATTATTTTTGTTGTTGACTATATTGTTATATTATATAACTTATTTTATTTACAAAAATAAAATTTAGTGAAAAAAAATTAGATATATTCTATAGATATTGTATAAGATATATAAAAAACATTATACAAAAACCTATATAACAAAATTATTATTTAATTTTAATTTATATACAAAGATAATAATATATAGTATACACTGAATCTAAATTATTAATTTGATAATTTTATCTTTTAAATGATGTAATTTTATATTAATATTAATTACTAGTGCATTATGTACTATACTAATTTACAGTATTATACTGTGTAGTACTGTATAATATAATTTAAACATAATATCTATAAAATATGTAACATATGATTTTTGTTTCAAGGTCAGATTTCTATAAAATTTTTAAAACTGTATGAAATTATCAACAATATAATTTTAGGTTGCAAAACTGGCTAGAAATATTTTTTTTATTAATTTGATTTGTATTTTTGATTCAAAACATATTTATTTTCAAAATATTTAGTCTATAAAAATAATAAAAAATGATTTTTGTAAATATATAGATTTAATAAAAAATATTAAAAACTTATGTTTAAAATTAAAATTTAAGCAATAACAATAATAAATATAATATAATTATATATTAACAATAATTATGAATATTAATATGGATAGAGAAAACTATTAGAAATACAAAATTGTTTATCTAACTGTCCATCAACTAGTTTTTTGTTAAATAAAAACGGTCTGTCCTTTAAATAGGTCAGTCCTAAACGTTTTGCTAAACCAATTGACTTGTCATTAGTATTCCAACAATAATATAAAAAGTTATTTCGTCTTTCAACCGGCAATTGATGACAACACTGACCTACTAATAGCTCAGCTATCTTATCATTGTCGGCATAGAGAGGTCCAACCATTGTCACCTCAGTAGTGGTCGTATATATAATACAATAGCCAACAACATCGCGGTTCTCATTAATTGCCACCAAATTCCAAGTGTCGGGGCTTTTGGTCAGTTCCTTGATATAGACAGTGCGGTTCAATCCGGCGCAAACATTGCTATCATATTTGACCACAAGTGGCAGTATTTCATTTGTGATAACAGACAAAGTGATGCCATCAATATTTTTAATGATGTCATCATTGACCACTACTTGGCCAGTCATATGGACCAGTCGTCTGTCGGGTACAACACCGAAGCCACACTTTGTGCGATAATAATCGCCCATTGCTTGTGTGGCGGCAAACAGTGCAATATTCCTGTCGGTGCCCATATATGTCACTGCTTTGGCCCACAAAGCGGCACCGATTCCCTGTCCCCGGTATTCTGGTTTAACACTATAGCCGCCAATAAATGCCAAATCGTTGGTGAGGTTAACGCCATCGCAATAACCGATTACCTGACCTGAAAATAACACAAAAGATTAATTATTCATGAATTGACTGTTGAAAAATATATAACCTATCAGCAAATCTATGTCATATAACTACCTGTGCTGACATCCTCGGCCACGAATAGACCCTCACTGAATGATTTGCGCCATATTTCCGGCCCATATTTCATAGCCATAAATCCCGATTCAGTCCATATTTGGCGAACACTGTCCGCGTCCGATACCCGCAACTCTCGTACCAGATATTGACTAACCTTTTTTACCGACATATTTGATATACATATAGTTTTTTGTATAATTAATAAATTCTTCAAAATCTTAAAATTTATTACATAATATTAAATAAATAATAATTTTTATTAAAAATGTGATTTTATATTATTTATTTGTTATAGTAATTTATATCCCCCCAAATAATTGGCTTAATTATTATGCTATTGACTTGTTTTTATTTGAAAATATAAAAACTATACATGCGTAAATAATATATTATTGAATAAATGCATTTAATTGTAAGTTTAGCGCATGTTTTTAAACAACAAATAATTGTCAAGGTTTTTTAGAAGTCTAAAATTTAGGAATTTATTTTTTAGATACTAATAATTATTAAATAATCAAGATCAAATAGTTTATTTTATAAATTATAATGATCTAAAAATACAATTTTTTTTTATACATTTAACTATAATATTATAAATTATATTTTTTTCAATAATATGCTATACATTAGTTAAATGCAATAGTTAAAATTTATATCACTTATGTTTTCACGAACTCCTGAAAGGAGTACGTATATGCATTCTATAAGTCGGTCTGTCTGTCCCACGAGGACATAGGTTCGAATCCACTCTCTGCTACAAATGTTTTTTGATTATTTTTTTAATTTTGTGATTTTTTAAGTTTATTTTTTAGGAAATTAAAGAAATTGGTGTCCAAAAATTAATTAAAATTTTTTTTTAATTTATTTTGAATTTTTTAAAAAATTTTTTTGATTTTTTTTCTTTTTTTTCTTTTTTAAGTTTATTTTTCACGAAAATGGAGAAAATAGTAGTTTATTTTGTAATACTGAATCATTTGATACCCTACATGACTATAGTTGATTTTATTTTATCATACTGAATTTAATTTTTAATTATATTAGGAGTTCGTATGGAAATGCTTTCTAGCATTCTCAACTGGTTTATTCTATAAAATTTAATATATTTTATGCAGTTTTCTTTAGAAATAATAAAAAAAGTATATCACAAGTGTATGCAATTTTATTAAAAAAATAAAAAAATGTAAAATATATCTTATTTGATTAATTATTATAAAATTAAATTACTGAATTGTTTATTAAGGATATAAATTTATATTATACATATTTTTTTGAATATATTGATCTTAATAAAATAACAAAATTAAAAAAATTTAAAGTGATTATGCTATTTAATTAAAGTGAATTTCAAAATTATTATAACTTATATAAAATACTCTAATGTACTGTACTTTATATAAAACAAATGGTAATTACAAAAATTAATCATCATTGTTTTATAAACATAAATAAATACGATTGTCTAAAATGTTTTACTGGTATATTAAAACTGATTTTATTTCACTTTAATATCTAATTTCTATATTATAAAATCTAATGTATCTATAAATTATAGACTATAATAACAATTTTTTTTGTTTTATTAATTAAGCTAAATTACAATTAGTTAATATATATATATATATACTTAGTCAGCATATGTAGTAAAGTAGTAAAAGTAAGTGTTTTAGTCTAAAATTTATTATTTAGTCTATAGCTGTTAAACAAGTATTAACTTAATTATTGTAATTTTGTTTTCGGAAAGCTTTTAAAAAAGTATTCTATTTTATTTCACTATGTTTTTGATATTAGCATTTATTGTTGTTTGTATCAATCTTATTGGTAATAATATATATTTAAATAATTAATATATAGTTTTTTAATTACCATAATAGATTTTATTTTATTTTCCAAATAGCATGTAATCCAATGCAAAACAATTTGATGATGATGTCGTTACCGTTTGCACCGGAAGCCAACCAATTGGAAGTCCTGGGCAATTTACTACAGCCATTGTTATCAGGTCTATTGGGACCCATTTTAACTTTAGTTAGCGGTCTATTGGGATCAACACTATCACCCTTAGTCGGCAATCTCATCATTTCTCTATTATCTCTATTGAATCCATTGTTACCCCAATTAAGAGATCTATTGTTACCAATTTTATTGCCAATAACTTTGGCATTGATTGCAGCAAAATAACAACTTTAATGATACTAATACTAACTAAACATTTTAGTATATTTTAAAAATTATTTTTTATATTATAATGAAATTAATAAATTCTTTTAAGATTTTTTAATATAATTAATTAATATAAATAATGAATTAATAATTTTATTATTTTTTTCTTACTTTTATGTATTATTTGTTAACAATTATTTCAAATAAACTTGAAAAAAGTTTTTCCAAATAAATATGTTTATTTAAGTTTATATTATTTATGATATAAATATTTCTAGTTTAATAATTAAATTTTATAATAAATATAATTTTATAAAATCTAATGATTTAAATTGTTTTTAACTACTATATGATCTCTATGATTATATATTATTAATTTAATAATTATAATTACATTAGACAAATTTTAAATTGATTTTATATTATAGAAAGTTTAATATTATTAGTAAATAATTAACCAACAAAAAACGGTAACTATTCATTAGACTATTTTATTTATAATTTAAATTTCAATTAATGTTTTTTTTTTAATTTAAAGCAAAAAAATAGTATTCAGTATAATAATAATAACCTTTTTTAAGAAAAAATTCATTAAATACATAACAATTTACAGTATTAACTAAAAAGCATTAATTATACTTTAAAATAAAACTAAAAACTTTATATTTTTATATTGATAGTTACATCTAATTTGTATTTTCTAATAATTTGTATTTTTTCTAGTTTGTATCTAATATTGTATTTATATTGTATTTATACAATATTTTAATAAAAATAAGTTTTTCCACACTTTAAATGTACAAATTATTATAATTTTTAAATAAAGTTACTTAATTATTTTTTATATTAATAATTGCTTATTAAACAAATAATTTGATTTTATTAAATTTCAAAACACTAAACGTGATTATGCTATTTAATAAAACTGTTTCAAAATTATTTTACAACTAATATAAACACTACTACTGTATAGTTAAATAAATAGTGTTTTTACAAAAAAATTAACCATCATATATTTACGTAAATAAATAATAGTGAAGAAAATTATATATATTTAACCTGGACAATTTTCTCAATACATATCTATTTTCTATAACAAAAAATTTAACATAATAACAAATTTGTTTTTTGATGGTCCTAATAATTTAAATGTATTTACAAATTGCTTTCTTTAAAAATTTAATTAAAAATAATTTGATAAATATTGACAAAAAATATCGGTAAAAATTAAACATAATTGTCATCATATATAGTAAAATTATGAAACAATTTGTCATATATAAGCTCAATATCTATGCCTTTAATTAGTTTAGTTAGTCTATAGCTTTCAAACGAGTATTTAGTAAATTATAGTTTAGTCAGATATTTATAATTTGTAATTTTTATTTTCCAATAATGTTGTTAAAAGTTGTATTGATTGCCGTATTGGTCAACCTAGTTGGTAATATATATATATATAATATATATAATTTATATAATATATTACTAATTATTATATTATTTAAAAAAACAAAAACATTTAGCCTGTAATACAGTGCAGGACATGATGACAATGATGATAAATGCGAGATCGGCACCGGAAGCCAACCAATTGCAGCCCGTTTTGGATTTACTCAAACCTCTAACCGATGGTTTACAACAATTGTTGACTACACTGTCACCAGTATTAAGCATTTTGAATCCCATATTGGGTCCATTGTTGGGCCCATTGGGACCCTTATTAGGTATAGTACTCCTTGCTCTAACCGGTTTACTAATCGCACTGTTGGGTCCAGTATTACATGAGTTAAAGTGGATATTATTACCACTTATAACTCCACTTACTCTCGGACTGGTGTTCTCTAATTAATAATTGTATTATTAAATAATATTAATAATAATTGTTATTATAGTAATAATAGAAAATTATAATTATAGTATTGTAAATTTTTTTTTAACTTTAATAAAATAATAAATTGTAATAAAATCAAAATTAATTATTTTTTTAAAAATAAATAATAATAAATAAATTATTGTTAAAATAAAAAAATTGCTAATGTTTTTTTAAATTAAATTGTTAAAAGTTTCTTATATTTCACTCAATAATGTGATAATATTTGAAAATGATTTGAAAGTAATATTAGAAAAATTAATTTATTAATTATTTATTTATTTTAAAAAGAACATTTAAATTAGCATAATTATTTAAGATTATAAATTAATTTTTAATTATAGTTATATAATTTTGTATAGAAAAAATATTATTTGTAACTATTATACAATACATTTTTAATTACAAAAATATAACTAAAAATATCTAATCATCTAATGTTTTGTAAATTGATTACGTATTTTAATTGTGTACTACTGGTTATGACTAATATATAATTTATATTTTAAAATTACAAAATTAAATAAATATTTCTTTTAAAAACAGTACTCTTAAAAATTAATCATCATCATTGACATAAAAATTAATTTTATATAGTGACTATAACAAAATATAAATTGAACCTTGACAATTTTTGTGTGTAAATTAATTTATCTGCATTACTATACATAATATATAGATTTAAATACTATTAGTCTAAAATGTACAGTACAATTATGAGTTACAGTTAGTGTATAAAATAATTAACAATAATTTAATTGTGTCGAATAAACCTGGACATATTAGTCATCATAGGTATAAATATGCAATATATACCTATATAGCCTGAAAAATATTTGCTAGTATAAATTAGTTATTCATCTAACTTACAACAGTATAATTAAGTTATTAAAATTTTTTTTATCAGATCCTCAAACAATCATAATTATCAATGTCTTTGAAAGTAGTAGTCGCTTGTATTGCCGCTCTGGTCACTCTAGTCGGTAATAATAATAAATAGATTATATTTAGTATTATTCAAAAGTATAATATTGTTAATAATAATTTTGTATTATTTTTGTTTACCTCCTCTCCTAATATAGCTGGTAAAACAGTTGAAACTGAAATGATGGTACAGCCACTGGCACCGGAAGCAAACCAATTAGATGTTTTACTCGATCCTGTTATTAGTCTACTCACTGGTATTTTGATGCCATTGTTGAGTGGGGTTTTAGGAAATGTTTTAAAACCTCTTTTACAATTATTGTCCGTCCCATTGGATCCGCTACTAACTCCACTATTGGTTCTTTTGGGCACTTTGTTGGCCGCACTTTTGAAGCCATTGTATCCAACATTAAAACCAATATTATTGCTGCCGTTATTAGCACTGGAGGCGGCATTAAATTTGGCATAACTTTAATTAGTATAATGATCTAGATTATAAACAATTTGTTTTTATTTTAATGTTTGTTAATATTTAGATATTGGGTGTTTAACTTTTTTTTAAATAAAAAAAAATAAAATATTTTTTTGTAAAAAATAAACTTTGTTTTTTTGTGCAAATCTAATTTAATATTTGTTAAGTAGAATTAATTTAAAGCTTAATAATAATACATAATTAATTAGTAGTATATTATGTGACATATTATTACGGGTAGGAAAAAGTTTCGAGACAAAATTGCATAAAAGTTGAAACTAATTTAATTAATTAATATCAATGTCTTGATTTATAAAATATTCGCCGTCTTTATCTATGATCTTCTGCCATCTCATCGGTAACTCATTCATCCCTTTGCTGAAGAAGGCTTCGTCTTTATGAGCCAAATAATCATTGATGGCAGTTTTGACCCCCTCTTTGTTATTGAAACGTTTACCATCTAAGAAATGCTGCAAAGATCGGAACAATTAGTAATCGGACGGTGCGATATCTGGGCTATACGGTGGGTGTGCCATGACTTCCCAATCTAGGGTTACCAACTTTTGGCGGGTCATTTTTGAAAAATGACTACCCGTTTGGCTTTTTTGCCGGTGAAAACTCATGAGGCACCCAAACTCGAGCCAAATATCTCGTTCCAATCTTTACCAAATGATTCCAAACAGTCTTTTGGTCCACCTCGAGTATCATACCATCTCCGTGGTACTTAATCTGGGGTCTTCATCTATCAGGGATCTGATATAATCGTCATCAACCTTTGATGGCGCACCCGATCTTTCTTTGTCTCCCAGACAATAGTCTTTATTGTCAAATCGCTGAAACCACTCGTATATCTCTTCTAGAGAAAGCATTTGGATACACTTCATTAATTTTCTTGAATGTCTCTGATGCACTTGATCCACGACGATATTTGTTAAGCATGACATTACGGATATGTGGATCTCTTGATGATATTCTATCTACCTCTTTTACTTTTGAAGACATCACCAAAACAACTGATCACAAATGAAAACTAAAGTATTGACTACTGATTTGATTATATAAAATTATGACAACAATAACAGAGACCATACAGTAATGACATAAACTTAGGTTTCTTTGTTTGTCTCGAAACTTATTCCTAACAGTAATATTATTATTATAAATATTTTACTTTTTTTTAACTATACTATCGGATTCCAAGTTAAATTACCTATAGATCTTAATTAGAATTACAATAATTATAATAATAGGATTTTTAATTTAAAAAAATTGAATATATAATATATGTATCAATTTTGTTAACTCTAAAAATTATATTGTAATACAAGATAAAAATATAAAAAACAATTTAACATGGTTATCTAATAGATAAAAATTACTGTAAAAACTTTCTAAAATTTTCAAAAATTTTATGTTTTTTCTCTCTATTGGACGAAACTAAATTTATTAAATTTAAAGTATTAATTTACAAATATGATATACAGATTGTGTAACTTAATTGTATTTAATATAATAGTTTTAACCAATAGCCGATATGATAAAAAGTCATATCATTTATGACGCAAATTAAAATAGCGTAAATTTAAATTATTTAAAAAAAATTTTGATTTATATATATTTAATTAAAATTTTTAATACTGATAATTATTTATTGTAATTAATTAATTAAAATTTTGATAATTTTATAAACTATATAAATTATTATATAATTATTTTTTGTCTATTTTAAAGTTAATTTATTGATAAAAAATAAAGATATTTGTAAATAAAAATTAATTAAATAGTCTTTGTTTATCTAAATATATTAAATAGATTACTCATTGAATTTATTTTGTAATTTAATCATAAGTTTAAAAAATGATTTTAATTTTTTATGTTGTATTATTAAATAAATAAATGTTGATTAATCAATATTATAATGTTATAGTAGTTTATTTTACAAAATCAATTTAAATAAACAGTAAAACAATAAACAACAAAAATAATCATCTTATTAAATAAATATAAAGTTATTAATATTAAGTTAAAAATATAATCTTAATAAAATCAATTAATTATTAAAATGCATTAATGTTTTATTAGGTGAAGTCAATTTATTGTTTATATTAAGTTTGATTTAAAATTAAAATTTTAGATAATATAAAGATCAATATAAATAACAATAATTATTTAATATTCTTAAATTATAGATTATTTTAATTAAGTAAAAAACTAAATTCAAAAATTATTGAAAGATTTTCTATTTAATAAGTTTATTACGGAATTAATATTACAAAATACAGTATAAGAAAACAAAATTTAAATTATCATTCTATTTAAGTAATACAAAATTGATGTAATCAAATATTTATTTAAAAATACATGTATACCGGCATTTAATTCAAGGCAATAATTTTTATTAAACTAAGTTAATATACAATAATAAGTTTTAAGTACTCACTACTCTGTTTAAGCAAAATAATAATAAGTATTATTATAAATTTTAAAAATGTTGAAAATTGTGTGCATTGCCACTATTGTTGGCCTAGTCGGTAATTATTAACTAATATATTATTTTTATTTTAAATAACAAATATTATTATATCTATATAGTTAGCAGATCTGTTGAAAAACTAGAGTCCATGGAGTTTAAGGCATTAGCACCGGTAGATTCAATGCAATTGGAATTTCTATCCGATTTAATCAATCCGATTGTTGGCTTTTTTAGCAATTTGGGGGCACAATTGCTATCTGAATTGAAACCATATTTACTATCATTTATAGGTGTAATAGTCAGTGTATTTTTGGCAGGTCTAACACCAATATTGCCTCAATTGATTTCACTATTTCTAGCTTTATTTGTACCGATATTGACAGCAGTGGTATCTCAATTGGCACCGGCATTGATCGCACAATTACCGCAGATATTGTCTGGTGTGGTCAGTGGACTTTTTAATGGCTAAATTAATTGGTCATTAAGATTATGGAGAAAAATGCTTTAATTAAATGTTAAAATAAAATTGATTTTTAAAATTATTATTATTTTGTCTATTTTATTTTAATAATTTAGTTTAATAATATTCTTAATTATTATGTTGGCGAAGCTATTTAGATATATATATTTTTTGAAAACATTAGACATTTAACTATTTATAACAATTTAAATATAAATATATATATATATATATATTACTGATATGTGAATTGAGTAATAAAAAGTTCACAAACTATAACACATGTCCACTCAACCCCTGCCGACCTCCCGTATCGCTTACAGCACTGGTAGCCAAAAAATTCCAGTGCATATGTGGTGACCAACGCTGATCAGTGGTATCAGCGAAACGATGGCCTATCGTTCACATTATCACTAGTTTAGTGATTGATAAGTGTTTTCAACCATAAAAGTAAGCAAAAACTTACTGTAAATTTTATTCTTAATACTATTTTTTAAAACTAATGTTTGAAAGATATTTCTAAAAAATAATTAATTAACTTATTTTCTATATTTATCTAATTATTTACTGTTTATAAATGTTTAGTGTAATGCAAATTCAATAGTCTTATTAAAAACTTATACTAACTATTATTAAATTTTTTAATTATATTTATGAATTTAATTCATAATATTGATATGTAGTTATTATAATAATGTTGTATTTTACGCCTACTTGTAAACATCAATTACAAACAGTCAATTAATTACTTAATTGTTGTTTTTAGTTAGCTATTAATTATAACAAGATTATTGTCAATCATAACTTTTAATATTAAGTTTTTTTTAAATCATAAGATACTAATTTATTAATATAAGTTAGGCGTTACAATTAAATTAAACTATTCTAAATTCTAAATTAAAAATCTAAATTAAAAAAAATAATATATTATAAAATAAATTATACTTAATAAGCACTATTAATATTACAAAATATAGTATAATAAATTAAAATTTTAATTATCATCCTTTTTAAGAAATATACATTCATCCAATCAATTATTATGAATTGAAAAATACACTGTACTGTACTGTACATGTATATTTAAACAATTATCTTTATTAAATTAATTTAGTATTACAATAATACTGTAAGTTAAATTAACAACATATTTAACTTGAAATTTATATTATAATTATAAATTTAAAAAAATATGTTTTTAAAAATTTTGTCCATTGCCACTATTGTTGGCCTAGTCGGTAATTATTAACTAATATATTAACTATTATTAACTATATTTTTTATATGATATAATAAATAAAGTATTAAAAAAATATTAATAATTTTTTTTATATCAAATAGTTAGCAGATCTATAGAAAAAATGGAGTCAATGGAGTTGAAATCATTAGCACCGGTAGATGTAATGCAATTGGAATTCCTAAATGATTTACTCAATCCTATAGTCGGTCTTTTGGGTAATATTGTGGCACAACTTTTGGCATTATTACAGCCTATTCTCATACCAGTGCTCGGCGTAATAGTTGGCATACTTTTGGCACTTTTAACACCAATATTGCCGCAATTGATTCCAATATTAGTGCCCGTATTGGTGCCGCTATTGGTTCCAGTGTTAGTTCAATTAATACCGGCTCTGGTGCCGGCATTGGTGGGACAGTTACCACAGTTAGTGACCGGAGTGGTCGGATCGTTACCACAATTAGTGACTGGAATACTTGGCGGACTTTTTCAAGGATAAATTAATTGTTTTACACATTTAATGAAAAATGTTTTAAATAATTATTCAAATAAAATTAACTTACTTTTTAAATTTAAATTTTGTTTTTATTATTTATTAAAGTTTTATAATATTCTTATTATTTTTAAAAGACTAATAAGTTAAGAGATTTTAAAAATTTATTTTATTTGTTTTTGATATTTATTTAAGTAATACTATTTATCTAACTGTATGTTTAATGATGTAAAGATTGCAGACTTGTTTAAAATTATATGAATTTATTATTATAATAAAATTATAATTATTTTTCTATTTAAAAATTTAATTAAAAATGCATTGATATTTATAGTATTTACAATTAAATTAAATTATAATATAATTAACGGCTATCTTAATATCGCCTGTTTTGCGACACAAATAAATAAAAATCAATAGATTTATGTGTTTTTAAATTAGTTATTAATTATTTTTAAAAATTTAACACATTTTATCAATCAAATATTACTAATCTGTATATTTTTACATAAAAGTTTTAATTATTTGAAAATTAAAAACAATTAATTTTTTTTATTATTTGTGTAGTTGTTTATTGATGTGCCGCCCATTTCATTGCTTGAAATAAAAATTTATTTTGTGTTTCGCTGGCAAATGTCGACGACTTGGTCTGATGTTTGCCGTAATCCATGAGATTGTGTCCCACATTCATATAGATAGCCCGATGATGTTTGTTGGCCCAAATAACCGGATAATAGCCACTGTGCCAGGTCTGGGACGGGTCGGTACCCAACGGAAAACTCGACGGATCAATTGAGGCCAGTATTTCAATGTTTTGATTATTTCGCAGATCATTACTCCAGGCGTACCATTCATTAACACAGGCTTCAAATTTTTGGGGAATGCCAGCCATTGCCGGATGTTGGGGACTGTCCACATGTAGTGTGGCTTTGGTTGGCCACCACGTGTTTTTCACGTACGAACCGGCACCGAACAGTGTATTATAAAACCATGACCACTTGGATGGGTTTTGATTGAACAGTGACACATGAAAAGCCAACAGTCCGCCTCCCTGTTCCAACCAGTGTTGTAATTGTTGTCTCTGTTCATTACTGTAGGGAACGTCGTCGAGAAACAGTACCAATTGATAGTTTTTCAGATTGTATAGCTCATCCCAATTACTAGTACTGCGATAGGTATAGCCGTTGGCCGAGGCGTGCTCTGGAAACCATCGGTTGGCCTCATTGTAGAAACTGGTGTGCGCTTCGTCTCCAGTTGTCTGCCAAAAGGCCAACACATTGAACGCACTGTTGTTACTACCGGTACTGTTGTCAATAGGTAAGGCCTGACAGAGACCCAGTACCGTCAATACTATGAATAATGTTAAGTTCATTATTTGTTTTATTATTATATAGAAATATTTATGAGCTATACTTTACCAATTTAATAAGTTTTTATACCAAACCAATACTTTATAAGTTTATGAGTACTGAACCTAATCTAACAATATCTATATTATTGTAAATTATACTTAAATACTGTATAAGTTAGTACAAATTGTATAAAGTATATATCAATAGTTACTTAAATACAGTACTTATTTAATACATTATATGATAAGTTAGTAGAATAATATACTTTGAACTAAAAGTTAGTCTAGAAATGAATTTTTTTATATTAATAAATTGTTTTTCCAATGAATCAATTATACTGTTTAATCTAATAATAATACTAATAATAAAAATGAATTATTGTTTGATAAAATAATCCCTCATTAAAGGATAATTATGTGACTATTATTATTATTATTATTATTATTATCAATCTAGAATATAACTAATTGAATAGTGTAAGTATTTGCAATCAATAAACAATTTTTTTTTTAAATATTTTATTTACTAATATTTTAAACATTATAAATTAAACTAACATGTTATAATTAAATTAATAATATAGTTTATATTCTAATAAATTAAAATAATAGAAACAAATTTAATATGCTAACTTGAATTATTATGATAATATTTAATTATTTATAAAGTTATCTAAGGCATAAGCTATTAATGTAAGAATATATATAGAAATAAATAATTTAATATTTATAAAAAATTTTATTATTATAAATTTTATATATTAATTTATTATATAAATAATCAATTTACTAAATAAATTGCACCAACATTTACTAACTTTTTTTTATTAAAAATATATTACATAATATAAACCTATCGATTAGCTAGATAATTTAGTGCATTAAATAAAAATTGATCTTGGTCGCGGGCAGCAAACGTCCATGATGTATTTCTATGATGAGCATAATCCATATTGTTGTGACCAAAATTACAGTAAATTGCCCGAAACTTTTTCATCGACCAAATTACCGGATAGTAGCCGCTATACCAGGACTGGTTCGGGTCTGTCCCGACCGGGAACGATGAGTTGTCGACTGAGGCCAGTATCTCAATGTCGGGATTGCGGCGCAAATCCTTTTCCCAGGCATACCATTCATTGACCGATGAATCAAATTTATTAGGCAATCCATTCATTGTCTGATGATTGGGACTATCAATATGATAGTGTATTTTTGTGGGCCACCATGTGTTTGACTTAAATCTACCGGTGCCTAAAAACGTATTGAAAAACCATGGCCATTCGTTTGGATTGTCATTGAAAGCAGACACATGAAAGCCCATCCAACCGCCACCGTTCTCCACGTACTGTTCGAAAGCCCGGTGCTCATCATTGCCCATAGCATAGTGTACGTCATCGAGAAACAGTATGACCTGATACCGGCGCATATTTTCTACAGTCATTTGTTCCATATTATTTGTGGCCGTATAGGTGTATCCATGAGCTGATCCCTGTGCCGGAAACCATTTGTTTGCTTCATTGACAAAGTTTACGTGTGCCTCATCACCGCTTGGCACCCAAAATGCTAGCACATGAAAGGGATCGCTTGTAGGCTTACTATGAATTAGGGCAGTGCCCATGTAAAATAATAGCAGTGTAAATAATTTCATAGTTTCTTAATTATTGATGAATTGTAAAATTTAATCCACTAAAATTAATTTTTAAAATAATAATTTTTGTTAATATATTAGATAGTTGTCAATTTTATAAGAAAAAATATATTTCATTTAAACAAAATAAAGTACAATATTATTAAATATCTTTTTAGAAAATATCAAACAAGAGGTACTTTTAATTTTTTTAAAGATTATATTTATTAAAATTAATTCAATAGCGTACACATGTTTCAGGATATAATTGCACACTTAATCCTTGATATAATATGAAAATATTATTTACAAATGTTTTTTTAAAACAATATTAATCTATGATTATATTATGATACCTTGTACCTTGCTCAATTGCTCTTGTTTTGTTTAAAGATACACTTATTGTTTTAAGTTTCAATATATTTTCAAGGTTAAATATAATAAATAGTATTTAGGTAGTTTGAAAATTTCATTTATTTATTAAACTTTACTTTAATATTTTAATAAAAGAATTTAGAAGAATTTAATTAAAAAATATTTAAAAGAATTAAAAAAATATAAAAGATTTTATTTATTTGGTAATTATATAAATCAATAAAACAATAGCATTAATATCACATATTTAGAGGACAGCCCTACCGGCCGCCCAATGCATGGCCTGAAATAGAAACTTGTTTTGCTCTTCGCTGGCAAACGTCGACGACTTTGTTTGATGTTTACCGTAATCCATGAGATTGTGTCCCACATTCATATAGATAGCCCGATGATGTTTGTTGGCCCAAATAACCGGATAATAGCCACTGTGCCAGGTCTGGGACGGGTCGGTACCCAACGGAAAACTCGACGGATCAATTGAGGCCAGTATTTCAATGTCCTTATTCTGGCGCAGGTCGTGCTGCCACCGGTACCACTCGTTAACACAGGCGTCAAACTTTTGCGGCAGTCCTTTCATTGCCGGATGATTAGGACTATCCACATGTAGTTTAGCTTTGGTTGGCCACCACGTATTTGATACATATCTCCCGGCGCCAAACAGTGTATTGTAAAACCATTGAAATGTGTATCCCGGATCGGCATCGTTATACATGGACGCATGAAATGCAATTAGACCGCCTGCTCCTGATTCCAGATAATGTTGTAGCACCCGGTGCTGACTGTCAGAGTAGGGAACGTCATCGAGAAACAATAAAACCTGATATTTTTTTAGATTTTCAGCAGTCAGCTCATCCCAGTTGCTTGTGCTTCTGTATGTGAAGCCGTGAGCGCTGGCCTGTTGTGGAAACCATCGATTGGCTTCATTGTAGAAACTGGTGTGCGCTTCGTCACCAGTAGTCGCCCAAAATGCCAACACATTGAAAGCTTCGGCAGTACTGTTGGTGTCGACAACAGTAGGCATAGCACTGGCGATGCCTATTGTGCTTAAGACAATTATGGACACAATTGTGGTTATCATGTTTATTATGTCAGACAATTAAAAAATTTTATTAAAAACTTTCTTTATATAGCTTTTGTGTAAAGTGTAAGCATTGTGTAAATTTATAATATCATATCATATCACTCACTAATTGTGATAAAATTATGATAATTTTAAAAATATATTTTTTTCTTATTTTATTTTATTATTTACAATTTGACATTAAGTGAACCCTTTAATAATTTATAAATAAGTAAACCAATAAATTAACACAATAACAATATAATAATAATCTGATTATTTTATTAACTTTTATTAAATATATTATTATATATTAAATATGAATGGATTCTGTAAATAAATCAGTTATTAAAAACAAAATTTTAATTAATGAAATATAAATTCGATTATTTATAGTAACATAATTAGTTAATAAATAAAATTGTATTATATTTACTGTAAATTAGATTTATGAATAGATTTACAATTTTCAATTTGTGTAAACAATTTATTTTGTAAACATCGAATTAAGATTATTATTTTTTTAAAAAATATAATAATCTAGGAATAAATCGTGTGTAAGTGTGTTTATATATATATATATATATATATATATATATATATATATATGGTTATTTATTATTAGTCAATAAATTAGTTTGTAAGTCAAGGAGAGAGAGAGAAAGAGAGAGAGAAAGAGAGAGAGAAAGAGAGAGAGAGAAAGAGAGAGAAAAAAAGTGAAGAGAGAGAGAGAGTGTGTGAGTAAGAGAAAGAGAGAGAGAGAGAAAGAGAGAGAGAGARAGAGAGAGAGAAGAGAGAGAGAGAGAGAGAGAGAGAAAGAGAGAGAGAGAGAAAGAGAGAGAAAGAGAGAGAGAGAGAGAAAGAGAGAGAAAGAGAGAGAAAGAGAGAGATTATTTGTTTTTTTGTCAAAAGATTAGTTATGATTTTTGTTGTTCTTTTAACTAATATATACTGTATATACGTTATATAATAATAATAGTTTAGATATTTTGATTAAAAATAAATTGCAAAACCTTACTTATTTTATTAAATAAATGGAGATTAAAAATAAAAGTACATAACATTTACTTAAGTATATTATAAAGTTTTACAAAAAAATCTAGTATTTATATATTACAATATTATACGTAGAGTATTAAATTATAAATAAATTTTTGCTGATCATCCAGGTGATTTTGCGCAATTGTACTCTACTATACAAATATCTTAACAGTCTATGCATTAGTAAAGAAAACTTCAACGGTTTATACTGAACTTCACCGACACATAAATACTACAATAAATTGATTTAAAGCTATACTATAGTGTATTTCGTCATATCATATAATAAGTAGATTATATATAATATATTATATAAATTATTTTCAAATTTATTTTCAAATTTGTTTTGAATTTATGATGAATATTAAAATTGAGAAATCCATTTAATGCTAACAAAAATTATTTCATGTATTTATTATACTGTATAGCGTTATCAATGATGTAATTTACTTTCTATATAAATACATTGTATTGTATATATTGATGACATCTTTAACAGAATAACAATAAATTATATATTTATTAAACATAAACAATAAAATTTATTATATCTATAAGTATTTACTAAAAATTCCCATGTTTAGAAATAAAATTTTATATACTCATAATTATATCGTATAAACAAAAATTTAATATTTAATTAATTATAAATATAATGTGTAAATTTAAAAATTAATGTTAATATGTTTCAAACATAAGGTAAGAAAATAATGTTATATTTAAAAATGTTTTAATATCTATGAATTTATAAAAAAAATTATATTAAATTTTAATATTAATTATTTTTTCTATTTATATATTATATTTTTATTTTAGATTATGAATTCATTAAACGACACGCTATCTAAAATGACATTTGTTGAAAATAATGATATTTTTAGCAGTTATTGGTTTCACATTATATTAATAATTTTCTACACAATTGTATTTTTGCTTTGCTTTTTAGGTGAGTAATAAAATAAACTAATTATATATTAATTATATAATGTATATATTATAGTATAAAGTTATATAATCATCATAAATCAATATTATTGTATTATATTTGTTAAACATATATATCATATACAATAAACTGTTATAACTTTTAAAATCGTATAAAACTACTCAATGAGTCTAAAAATAGATTTGTTTTAATAATAAAATCTTTTGTGTTAATGTATAACATGTTGACTATATATAATTTATTTCAATATATTGACAGTTAATTACAATACTCTATATACTATATATAACATTGCATTTAGAAAATACTATAATATTTATTAGAATATTATAAAATAGAAATTTAATAAAAATAATATACAGTGCCATAAAGTATTATTTAATATTTTTTATACAGAATAATAAAAATAAAACCTTTTAGTTTTATTTAATAATAACTTTTTGTTACATATATATCTTAGTAAATATTTTAACAATATAATTTTCTATATATATTTACCATTATATATCATATATAACATTATATTTTTGTATTAAGATCAGCTAGTGATGCACTCAAAACAATTTAATTATAGTATGTACCAGTTTATTGCATAAGTAATTTAATTTGAAAAAAGTAAAAATACCCAATAGCTTTTCATAATATTATCGTATATATATATATATATAATAATAATAATAATAATAATAATAATAATAATAATAATAATAATAATAATAATAATAATAATAATAGTTATATTAATAATAATAAAACAATTTATTGTATATACTATATTTTGATATAATTGTAGAGATGGGCAAATAGAAAGTTTCTAATAAATTTCCTTGAGAAAGTTTCTAGAAAGATTATCGTGAATAAATTTCTCTAGAAATTTAACTTTATTGTTATACAATGGGATCCCCATATCTATAGTTATTGTAATACTATATTAATAAGATATAATATTAAACTATACATATATTATACTATACAGTATAAATTAGTACAATACTATACAAATGAGATACCTATATATAAAATAATTATAATTATTTAATAATAATTAGTTTTGTAAAATTGTATTATATATATCATACTGTAATTTAATTAATTAATTTTTTACTTTAATTAATAATTAAAATAATAATAATAATATTTACGGTAATGTATTGTTATATGATAGCAAATATCAAGATAACAAAATTAAGAAGGGATCCCATAGATAGAAATTTCTTTTACAAACTTTCTAGAAATTTCTCGATTATTTTATAAATTTCTCTTTTTTGCCAACACTATATAATTGTAATGATAAAAATATTAAAAATAACCTACACTTAGAAATATTTTCATTTGCAGTTATTTTTTTAATTAATATTTTAGTATTTTTTATTCTCATTTAGATATTTAGTCAACAATAAAACGATTTTCTTGCTTATTAAAAAATAATAAATTATATTTTAATTTAAATTTACTAAGGTGTTAAAAATTTTAAATAAAATCAAAATATATAATTAAATAAATAAGATTTGAGTTAACAAGTAATTTAAAATTTAAAACAAATTTTTCATAGTTTCTCATTAATTCAAATCAGGTTTCATCAAAATTAAACAAAACCCTACATAAGATATATTCATTTATTTTTTATGAAAAATTGCAAATTACTTTATATGTAAATTTTAATACTGTATCATGTGATACATAAGTATTATACATTTGTCTAAAAATATTAATATTTATGTCGAAATATCTATACTAATATATAATTTGTAATTTTGTTTATATATTTCGCAACTCTTTTTATAAACACGTATTTTTGTGAAAGCTTTAGATATTAATATTGAAAAGTTAACTTCAAGGGGCAAAACACACATATTATTTTTACATTGACTTATTATAGTTATTTTACAAAACTTTTTAATTACAATTTATCTATATCTACTGCAACTGTAATTTTTAATAACATTTTTAATTTAATCCATTAATAAATTTATTATAATTTTTTTATGTAATGTTGTATATTTTATATTTATGATTTAATAGGATTAATGTGTATTTATTTATAGTCATATTTTAGATTTTTATATTTTTCTGATGACTTTATGTTAATATCATATTATTAGGCAATTCATTGGTAATAGCGGTTCTGGCGTTTAATAGAGAAACTCAAACAGAGACTAACTTTTTCCTCCTAAACCTTGCGATCGCCGACTTATGTGTCGCCATATTCTGTGTCTATCAAAACCTATCGATCTATTTGTTTACCGACTGGTCGTTCGGTGATATCCTGTGCCGTATGTATCACTTCATACACGCCCTGAGCTATACGGCATCGGTGTATATATTGGTTGTCATATCGATTGAGCGCTACTTAGCTCTGGTCTATCCATTGATGAGCCGACGGCTCCTAACAATGAGAAAACTGAAGACAACAATAATCATTGTCTGGTTATTGTCAGCCATCTGTTGTTTTCCCCGTTTTATTATCTTTGGTACCATTAATATACAATTATCTCCAATCGGTAAATATTTTTTTCTAAATTAAATTAAGAATTTAATTTATAAACACTAAAATATATTTTATGCTATTAAATAATATATAAATAAATATATAAATATATATATATTTACCATTATATGTATAGATATTTTTGTTGATTAAAGCATTAGAATGTTAAGAATGTAATTATTTTATTTATTTTTTTGAGAAATAAATATTTTATTTTATTTAATAATTTCTTATTATTAAATTCCCAAAATGAATTATATAATTTTAAATGAATTATAAATAAAGTATATTATTTTATTTAAAATTGCAAATTATGTAAAAATCTATTATAGATATTTTATGTAGTTTTTTTAATAATTTCAATTATCACATTAAACTGCAAAATCTAAATTTATTTATGAAATATATATAAAAAACTATATTGAAAAATATTTTAATTTTCAACACTTGACATTTAAATATATTTATAAAGTTTTTACTTGTTTTTTAGTTGATATTTCAATATTTGATTAAAATAAAGCAATTAAAATTATATGAAAAACAATATTATCTTAGCAATATTAACTTATTTACTATTTAATAACTAATTTTTATTATTGACTAATTTGTTGTCAACCGGATCTTTCTTACATTAATTTCTATTATAATATTATAACTCATTTAAATAAAATTAACAATAAAATAAAAATAATGTTAATCTAAATCTAAATATAATTATAATATAATAAATAAGTACATCATATTTGTATATTTAATATATAATATATTTTATTAGTATATCGTTTGAGATATTTCATATATGATTTTATTGAAATAAAATGTAAAAATATGTTTTACATTTCTGAACTTTATGTTTTTAAAAATGAGATTTTAATATATATATTGATTTATTTCAATTAGTTATTAATATATCAACCGAAACCCAGTAAAAACCCCTTTGGCAACGATTTTTTATTTACATATTCTTGTTTATTTAGAAAAAAATTATAGATGAAAAATAGATTTGTAAATATTCAATATTTTTCTAATGCTTATACAAATAAATCAATAAATAAATATAAAATTCAGATAATTTATATATAATATATGGGACTATTCCCAATAGACGTCCAAAAAATATAATAATATTTAACATTCTTTTTTAAATAATCAATACATTAAATTACTTTATTGACTACTTTATGGACGCCTTATATGGATTAAGTCTTATACAATACATTAACATTATATGTTTGCTTTTCATGATATTTTATATGTTATTTTAGTTATGCAGTTATTTGTTTATTTTATATTAGCTATACATCCATATACTGTATATATATATATAAACAAAAATTAATTAATAGCAAACAAATCCTATAATTTATTAATATTTATTTAAAATTTGTATTAATATCTACTAAAATATTACTTTAAATTTATTTTACATTAATTTATGAAAAATTTTATAGTTATAAAACAGTTTTTATGCATCTTTTAATATAAATAATTTAAATTATGAAACTTTTTGTTTTTAATTGTTAAAAATATTATATTTTTCGACATCGGGTATTAAAAATAAAAAAGAGAGCAAAACATTGTGTGTATTAAAGCAGACGGCATACGACGCCAAAACCTACGACACCGTATACATCATACTGTGTTTTGCTATACCACTGGCCATCATAACGGCTACCTATGCCCGGGTGTGCTATCACTTGTGGACCAGTTCGCTGCCCGGCTATAAACTACAGGCAAATCGTTTGGTGACAATAGCTGTCAGAAGGGATGGCCAAACATCATCGTTATTGACGTCCTGTTGTATGAAAAGAGGAATAGTATTGCCAAATATAGTCGACAGACATAACGACCACTACCACCAGCGACACACACCTATYAAATGGGCTAACGAACCGGCCGTCAATTTTCTAATGGAGCGCCGCAAAAAAGTTATCAAACTTTTGATAACAGTTGTGTTGGCTTTTACACTGTTGACCGGTCCGTTTCATATCAGAAAACTCGTACAACACTACCTGTGCTCGTATGACGTGTCCTCCAAAATGGCTACATTTTTGACTATATCGACCACTTTGATGCTATACTCTAACTCAGGCGTAAATCCATTGATTTATTTGATATTTTCAAAAAAACTCAGACGACTGATGTTGGATATTGTTTGGCGTATTGTTAAATTAGTGGGCCTAAAGTTGACACCCGTCACCACTACTACCACCACCACCACCAATGTTGCTCATGATTTTGAATTAGGTGAAGAAGTACATCCTAAAGATAACTATTCCGGTCCACAAGTTATTTCCATACAAACCGATTTCAGTGCACAGGAGATGTCGGATAATATGTAATATATATATATATATATATATATATATATATATTATTTGTGACAACGACGACAACAATAGTACTTATGGTGGCAGTGATGATGACAGTGATGGTAATGTCAACAAATTATTTCTAAGACATTAATAGTTTTTAATCTGATTTAAACTACTGCTTCATGTTTGGGTCAAACGGTAAATACAATATTATGTCTAAGAAAACAAATTAATGATAGTTTCAAATAAGATTAACTAAATTATAATATAAGCTATAATTACACAATAATTGGATTGTATTAATCGTAAATGTTTATTTTGTCTAATAAATATTATGTTTATTTTTTAAAAAAAACATTTATTATTTTCATTATAATATATTTAATTATATGATACTGTATATGTAAATAGTTAGTATCTGAGTAAAAATCAATAAAATAAGCATGTTTGCATGTTTATACAATTGTAGCTCTTATAAGGCATAAAAATATAATTATCAAACAAATATAATAAATTAATGAATTATTAAATAACTTATTGAAAATGTTGCCCTTTAAACAATAAAGTAAATAACATAAATAAAATAATAAATATTTAGTTAACAGTAATAAAATAAATATAAAATCTTTATACTATTATACTATTAAAATCTTTATATTAAATTTGTTTATTTTATTTAAAGTATAATTACTGTATTATTTGCTAATCTAAAAATAATATACAATTTCGTAATACTTAAGATAAAATAAAAACATCATTAGACTGTAATTAGTATAGAAACTAACAAACTGTATAATTGAAACATCTTTATAAATATTATTAATTAATAATACAGTCTAATGCTATTACTCAGTGATATTTTAAGTAACAAAATAATATATAAATTTATATACTGTATATAATGTTTGTCTTTCTTAATAACATTTCTATAAATAGAAATAACAAAAATTATAATTTTATTATAGTTTTGAAATTTGTCTTATATTATATATTATCAATTATTATCTTATACTTTATATACATATACTTTTAGATACTGTACTGTATATGATATATAATGTATAGATAATACATTTACTGTAATAAATATTACAAAATACAGTAGATTGATATGTTTGAGAAATTTTTTGTCAAAGATTTTATATTACAACACATTTGTATATTTAAAAAAAAACTAATTTAATTTATTTCTTATATATTGATAGTAATAATATGAAACTTTAAGAACTTTTTGATCTGTATTCAAAAAAAATAAATAAATTCTAATATAAATTTATTTCTATTTTTAAAACATTTTTTCTCAGGAAATTTAATAATATTTGATTAGTTCTTAATAAAAAATTTTTGCAAATTTTCTTATTCTGTAGCAATTCATTGAATAAAAAATATTTTAATCCTATAGAATCTGATATTTATTTTACTATATTTTATATTATTGGTGGTCCTGTGTTTATATTATACTGTAATAATATTATTATTATTAAAAAATAGTTATATTGTATATTTCAATCAAGAATTAACAACTAAAATGAAAATGTGATTGATTATTTATTAGTATCATTATTAGTATTTAAATAAATTAAATATTATATTTATTCTACATATTTAATATTAATAATAATACGAATCATAATATTATTATTTATATCAATTCAATATAATATTTTTCAATTAATCAATTAGAAAAGAATTACTTACTAGTCACTTTAAAAAAATAATTTTGTTATTTTAATATCACATTATGTAAAATTTAATTAAAATTATATTATTATACAGTTATATTACTTATATTTCTTATATTACTTATATTACTCTAATTATTTAACATTTAATTATATAAATTATATACATTTGAAAAACAAGACTTATTACAGTATAAAAAATTCTCGGAAAATAAAAAAATAATATTATTAAATGGAATGTAAGGTTTTTTTTTAATAATTATAATATTGTATATATGTATAAATATTAACAATCAAAAGTTAAAATCTAAATAAGTGAAAAAATAAAATTATAAAACAAAGATTTTCATGAAGAAATATATATTTAAGTTATTGGTTTTGTTTGATTCATTAATTGACGAAATTAATAACTTTTTTAAAAAAATTAATTTTACATTTATACAATTATATTTACTTGCACTAAACATTATTATGATCTAATATTTCAAAAAAATAGTGAGATAATAATTAGTAATTTATAAACAAAAAGTTTATTTTTAAAGACAAATTGAATATCTGCATAGTATTTTAAAAATTACAAAATATATTTTTTACAAAATATTTAATATAAATATTTATATTTAAATTATTATATAATTTATTAAAATTTGTTAAAACAAACATGAAAGAGGTTTTATCCTTATATCATACCCGCATCAGTTTTCCTACTCATGATTTATTTTAAATATACATTGAATCATATTTTACATATAAAAATGGCTATTTTAACACAATTTTAGACACAATTTTAAACATAATTTTAAACATAATTTTAAACATAATTTTATACTGTATATTTTTGTATTTGATTATTTTTTATTTACTTATATGTTTAACCAAAAAAATTGCATTCAACTACTAAAGAAATGTCAGATGAAATTATGTGATCAAATCATACAAGTAAATAAAAAATGATGTATAAAATTGTATAAATATATTGAGTATAAAATTGTCTATATTATAGACTCTATAACATTGGCATTTGTGGTCATTTTTAAATGTAAAATATAGTTTACTTATTGTTCAAAATAAATCATTAGTCGGAAGTCTGATATTAAAATATTGCCACAAAAGAGATATCAATTTTGAATTTAAATCTATAGTATCTCTTTAATAGAAAATGTTTAAAAAATATATATTATTTAATATAATTTTAATATGTTTTTAAAAATTATATTACAAATATCATTTATAAATAAAATTAATTTATTAATATTTTATATATACAGGTTGAAAAAATCATTATAATTTTATAAATTTTATAAAGTTTAAATTTATTACCCTCGAGATGATAAAATATTTTTTAAATATTATTAAAGCAAGGCTAATTTTAAAATCTAATAATAAAATAATTTAAATGATACTAAAATATGTGTTGAACTTACTGAAAATTTTGAGAATCTAAATATAATATATTTAGATAATAATAAGTTATATTTTTGTATACTTTAATTTATTAAAAAACTTAACTATTTATTATACAGTAGGAGTGTAGAGTAAAAAGTTAAGTAAAAAATAATTATATAATAATTTATATATATTAAAGCTATTGTACAGTTATTTTTAAAATTTTTTTTTTTATTAACATCGTAGTTAAATTTGTGACTAAAAAAACAAATTACATTATAGTAAGATTGTTATTTTTTAGATTGCTTTGGGTAACACAATTTTATTAAATAATAATAAATAATGGATTTATATCAACTATAATTACTTTAATAATACTATGGTATTAACAATAATAGTTATATAATCTTTAATTAATTTCTATCATAAATATCTTACTCTAAAAAAAATATTTTTTTTTATAAATATTTATGTATATATGATAATTAAAATAATATAATTTTATTGTATTAACATATCTATAAATATATCAGCAAATAATAAATATAAATTACAATAATTTTTAAAAATTAATGTATCTACAATTTATATATTAATATACAGACAAAACAATTTATGAATTTTTACGATTTATAAACCAATATTAATTGTTAACATTAACATTATTGTTATATTTTAACTAATCTTTATATTTTGCTTGTTATTATAGAGACTATCATATAACAAAATTAATAAATTTTGTAAAAAAATATATACAGTATATTATAAATTTATAAGTTAAATAGAAAATTTTATTTTCAAAATTAAACAAATTAAAAATCAAAATTCAATTATAAATTATGTAAACTTTTAAACAATATTATTTCAATTATATACAATATTTAAGTTCAATAACTGTATTATTGAATACAATAGCATCATATGATAAACACTATTATATTGAAGCTATTGTTAAAATAATATTTTTATTTGTTATTAATAAATAATTGTCATTTTAAATAATAGATTTTAAAACTTATCAGAGTATTCTTTTACAAATAATAATAATATTTTTATTATATTAAATTAAATTATAATACTAACAATTTATCGGAAGTTATATTTAATTATTTTTTGAAAATTTGATAAAAAATTTAAAAATATATAGATATCAAATAAACATGAAATTAAATATATATTCAATATTTTTTATCGTTTACTTTTTTCTATAACTTTTAACGTTGTTTGTGTTAGTGTGTGGTAAGTTAAATAAATTTTAATTATATTTTTAACTATTTTGTTGTTTACTATTAAAGATAAAAATTATGTATATATTTTAATGTAAATTTTCAAAAAATAAAAATAAATATTAACTTATTTAATATTTTAAAAAATATATATTTAATTTAAATTAAAAATATATTTATAATTAATTTTAATAACAATATGTCAAAATTAAGTTGTTTGTCGATAGCTATTATGATTTTAGTATATGTGCTTACAGTGCACAGCAATCCTATACTTGATGATCATTATTCCGACTGCGATATTGCCTACCAGTGCATCGGTATGACTGATGAGTGTATCAGCAAAAAATCATGTCAAGTGTTGCTTAAAATAAAACCGTCCACTCAAAATGATAAACCCGGTGTCATGTTTCAAATTTATTGGCAACGTCAGACCACATCAGAGGACAGGTATCTGGGCATTGGTTTGTCCAGTGATACACAAATGGGAAACGATTCGGTGACCCTGTTTTCAATGGGAACTGATGATTCAGTTCAGTCTAGACAAGGACTGACATATTGTGATACCAACTGTGGTATCAAATATGTCGACGTTAAAGGTATGCCCGCAGCTAAAGGAAAGTTTTCCGACAATCAATTGACTGGTCAGTGGTGGCGACCGGAGGAAACGGATGTCGATACTATTCATTTCAATTTAAAAGCTAACAACTATTATCTATTTCTTGCCTATGGGCCGGTAGATAAACAAGGTACTTTTTAAACAGACAATTTGTTTAATTATTATACTAACTTACTGTAATTGGTATTTAGGTAATCCTATACATCATACCACTGCTTATGTATCGCACAATCCTATAAGTTTTGAGGCCGATCCACATAAGACAACGATACAAACAACTTTACCATCAACACAGCCAACAACAAAACCAACACCTCCGCCAACAACACAGCCAACCGCAGCGCCAACAACACAGCCAACAGCACCTCCGCCAACAACACAGCCAACCGCAGCGCCTACAACACCGCCTACAACACCGCCAACAACACCGCCAACAACACCGCCAACAACACCGCCAACATCAAAGCCAACTATTAGTCCGGTGCTGACAACAACAGGCAAACCCAGTAGTGCCGTAACATTCATTAGTAGTCCAATAATAATAATGTCAGCTATTTTTGTTGTCATTATAAATATAAATTAATCTTTTGATTTTCCTATTATATTAATCTCTGAAAAATTAAATGCTAAATCTTTTTTAAAATAATTGTATATTTTATATACTTATTTATTTATTAGAAATTATTTTTAATGTATTGATAGAAAATGTTATTATTATTAAAGCAAAAATAAAATTTTTTATTTAACTTTAATTTACAAATATTTCATAAAATATTATGTCAATAATTATTTAATTAAATTGTTATTAATTCTATTTAATTAAATTTAATTAATTAACTATTTATTAAAGATTTACATTACGTACGTCAAACATCTGTATATTTTTGCAATAATGTTAACTATTTTTTAATAATAAAAAATATTTTTATAATATTAATTAATTATTTTTAATTTAAATATTTAATATAATCAAATATAATTAAGACTACAATATCAAAGATTATTTAATTTGTTAAAAATGATAAAATATTTGTTTATATTAATAATAACATTGTTATATCAATTTTCAGATTATAATGTCAATTGTAATACTGATAAAAAAAATTCTAACTTAAATTCGGTAAATATTTTTTGAAAATAATTAAAATAGTATAAAATAAATTTTTATTATTATTATTATACTATAAATATGATTTTTTTACAATAAGATAAGATAATATATAATTTAAAAAGATATTTTTTTGTTTTTTTTGTTATTTTATAAAAATTAAATAATAGTATTTATTTATAGCAATTATAATAATTAGATTTTTATTTAAACACTGTATTGCATTATTACTATTGTTATTTTTTAAATATAAAATAATAATGATAACAACTACAATAGACAATAATTAGATATTACTGTAGTTAAATTTTTTTGTAATTAATATTATTAAAAAAAATTTAAATTATAGAAATGTTTTAAAAAGAGTAAGTTGACTAATTTTACTATTGAACAGGGTAATGTTGCAGGAACACCGGTTACTCCTGGTGTAGCACCGGCTAATCCTGATATAGCACCGGTTACTCCTAGTGTAGCACCGATAGGTGCACATGTAAACAGTAAACTGCAACTAAGCGCTGATGATCTCAAGTTTCTGGAAGATCTATACAAAGACAAAGATAGTAAGTCAAAGGTGATTAAAATGATGGAGAGATTTGTGGAAAAAGTTCACAATTATTTTACTAAATGGTACGACCGGTTGGCTAAATATATGAAAAACTCTAGAATTTTGAAAGCCTTTATCCGAAGTAAAACCAATGTCAACGAAACCGTTACTGATATTAACAATGCAATGGAAAGAAACAAATTGAATGATTTCTTAGATAAATGGTTTAAAGACCAACAAAAACAAACTGACAAACAAATTGTTACAATGGATAATACGGGTAAAATTGAACAGTTGTCTAAGGAAAGCCTACTTAAAGATATGATCAATGAATTGAGAAAACAGTCAATGGATGATAAAATTAAAAATAATAATAATACCAATAGTAATAATAATAATGCCACACATAAATAGTTAAGATAAATTGATTGCACTATAAAAATGTAATAAAATTATGTTATTTATTTTTGTCATTAAATCAATTATACTTAAATTTAATTATCTTTTTAAAAAAATATGTTTTCTTTAGTATAAAAAATTATTAGTTTTTTTTGTTTATTTAATTAATCATACTAATAATAAAATATTATGATTTATATATATATATATATTTATAGTGTATATAAAGTATATACAGGTAGTAAATAATAATATTGATTAGAGAATATATTGATAATATTGTGGATTTAAAAATTAATAATAATAATCAAAAGGTTTACAATTTCTGTTTTAAATTTGAGTTTTTGGATTTATAGTGTTTTCTTTGTTAACATAGTTTGTAAGTTATTAATAGTGTCTTGATTTCCAACTTAAAAATCATTTTTTCGGTTTAACGATTATAATTGAGACTTAGTATATTCACTAAACATAACCATTGGAGACGATTTTTACGATATTTTATTATAACTATAGATAACTATTTGATGGGTTAGAAACTATAGAAACTTATAAATTATTATTTCAATAATTTTGAAAAATATAAGCATTAAACTGTAAATTTTTTTATAAGTTTATTTAAATAATACAAAATATTAGTTACAGAAATTATATAAAAACTAATTTTTTTAATTAATATTTTTTTTGTTAACAATCAAAATAATTAGTATATTTGTTTAAATCTTTGTTATATATGCATAAAACAAGTAAATCATTTATTATTTGCAAATATTTAAAAAGATAAATAACTATTTAAATAACTATTTTTAAATAACTATTTGATAGTTTAAATAATTATTAATCGATACTTTAGTTGTGAAATATTTTTTTCAATTTAAGGTTACAATAAAATTACTGAAATTTAATGTCAGAAAAAAACAAATCGATTAAATTGTAATTACATTTAAGTGATTGATAATTGATTTACTGAAACTGAATACACAGTGAAAGTGATTTTAAGGTATCATATTATTATCATATGAGTTATACTGTATAACAAGTAAAATAAAATAAAATAAAAAACTAATAAAACTCTCGTGAGTAGTCGTGAATAAAATTTCAAGCACTAGTCATATATTAAGTACAGTTTTATTAGTTTCATTGTTGGCTTTATATACTACTATACTAGTAATAGTGAGAAAACAATTTTTAAAATAAATATCTATGTGTTAATAATATTTGAAACTAAATTTGATGTATCATAAAATTAGAGTTGGGCAAATAGAATTTTCCCTAAAAATTTCCATGACAATTTTTTTTAACTGAGGAATAAAACAATAGAAATTTTACTTTATTATTATACTATGGGATTCTCCATATCTATTGCTAATGTAATATTATAGTAAATAAAAAATACTAATAAATTATTATTTAATTATTTGCATTTTTACAATATAACAAATATCGAAAGAAAACAAAATTAACATAGGGATCCCATAGAGAGAAATTTATATTAGAAACTTTCTATAAATTTCTCTATAATTTTTATTTTTTTGCCAACTTTATGTGAAACATAAATTTTCAAATAAAACTTGAAATAATTTTAACAACATATTGTTATAATTCAAACATATAAAAATTGAATCAGTGTGAATATACTGTAATACAGTAGTATCAAATATATATAATATATTATAAAAAAAAGTTTAAATATTAATAGTTTACTATCATATAAATTGCTTAGATATACCAGTTCTGTACAATAAGATATTTATCTGATATATAGGTTTTATTAAACTGGTATCATTGTATAATAAAAATAAAAACTAAAATCTATATTGTTCATATTTTTTGTCATCCTAATATTTTATTTAAAAAATAAATAAATCATATACTGTATATTGTTTTTATAAAGATTTTATTGTTATCCTATTGAGTTACACAACACACAAAATTGAGTTACAATATAATAACAAGTTTTTCAATTAAAATTAATAAATTATTATTAGTAATTTGATGATATAAATAAAAATTTTATTTTATAAATTATCAGAATAATAATGAATTTTACTATTTTAATTTTATTATAATATAGTTTTATGAAAATACTAACATATTACTTTTATTGTTATATAATTCTATATAATGCTAAAAATTATTATAAGTTATTTTATATATAAAGTTTTATTATAATAATATATATTAATATATATAGTATATATAAATTACTATATAATAAAATAAAGATTACTATAAGATTATATTATTTTCATTTATTTTATTATTTAAAATAAAATATCATAAATTTTAATAATTATTCATTTAGTTTTAAATAATTTATTTTTATATAAATTTATTGATAATTTATTTACCGTATTGTATATAATTTTATTTAAATGTTTATTATACAGTATTATAGCATTTTTTGCTACAAACATTAAATTCGAAATTTGATTTTCTAATAAAAATTGTAAAAATTTAAATACAAAATTAAAATAAATCCATCTTTAAATAAAAATAATATTTTCGTGTCTTTATATTATTATTACATTTTTAATTTTCTCAATTATAAAATGTAATTTTAAAGTGCATATTAATTATTATTACTATTTTAAATAAAATTACTGCAATTCAGTATTTAGTTAATTACATATGCAGCTGCTAATATCTAAAATGTTATTTTGTGTGTTATAATTAATTTTTAACTTATTATTTTTTCCCGAAAAATTAGGCTAAATAAAAGTTATTATAATATATTTTTTAAAAATATTTGTGTAATTTATATAGTATTTAATATTTTGTAATTTATGTCAAAAATTCTGAACTTAAATTAAATTAATAAACATTAATTTATGTTAACAAATTAGTTAATAAATAAATGTATTTTAATTTATATTAAACTTTCTTATTAAATATAAAATATTTGTTTCAATTTTGAATAGTGATTATAATAATAATAAGAATATTATATAAATTATATATATTTTTAACTAGTATAAAATTAAACAATTTAAAACATTGCTATTATTATAGATAGTTAAGATTTTATTAATTGATTAAAATACTATTTGTTAAACACTATTTCTAATTAAATAATTTTTTATAAGATTACTTTATAATAAAAATTTTATAAAAATTCAAGTGTCAACAACAAATATCCAGTTATTTATTAATGTGATGTTTATTTTATTATTAATAATAACCAATGTTATTTTAGCAGATAATAATAATAATGTTGAAAATGGTATGCTTTAAAAAAAATTTTTTGAAAGATTTCTTTATAATAATATTTCAACCTAAATCAATATTTTTTAGTATTAAAAATTTTAATTATATGTTTTATAGCTTATTAAATTTATATCATAAAATTATATTATATTATAAAATACATCTTATTTTTCATAAGTTATTTATATGGATTTAACTATTTAAGTTAAAATTAAACTTTTATATAATAATATACAGTATATTAATTATATCAAATAAATGATATTTCTATTGAATGAATTTATAGAATGAACAAAAAAATAAATACACTTATATAATGACATTTTAAAATTTAATTTGTTAAATGTTTTTTAAATAAATTTTTGATTAAGAGATTATAATTTATGTTTTATTTTCTTAAATTTAAAAGTTAGCAAGGTCATAATGTGATTTGTCAACACAATATTTAATATAATGTTATAATAAACCTAATATTCATTATAAAGTTTCATAAAATAATTTATTATTTTGTAAAATTCATATTTAAATAGCATTATATATTTCTTATAATTTCTACAATCAAATACAGTGTCATCGCTAGACAGGGGAAACAGTTTTATTTTGTCGGATATTATACAAAATATTAGACAAAACGCTACACAACACGGAAACAACAACACTATCAGTCAATCGGGTAATCCGTTAATAGACACAGAGTTTCAACTACTGGATTGGCTAAACCCGGGCTCACCGCTTGTGAACACATTGAAAAACTTGACCGGTTTTGTTAGCAAACCTAACCGACCGCCACATAAACCGCTGGTCAATAACCAGACTAACAGTGTGCCAATAATAAGTGAGACAACCGACAAACCGGATATCGGTTCTCAATCTAACTATCCATATGTGGCACCGCAAGACAACTATAACAGTCAATACAATAACTATAATAATTTTATCTCTCAAACCCAGAATAGGCCACCGCATAGAAAACCATACGATGGTGTATATCATGGACCTAATGCCGTGATTAGTAAACCCGGGTATCCTCTGTTGAACTCAAATTTGGGTTCACAAAGCTATACATTTCAAACAAAACCAACAGTTAGTATACTGGTTAGGCCTACAAATAATAATAATAATCATAATAATAATCATAACAATAATCATCAGTCCAACTATCCTGGTTTTTATCCTCGAGTCGATGTCCAATAATTTCTTAATTTTTAGTTTTTTACAATATAGTCAAATGTTTATAATGTATGTTTTAGTAAATATTTATTTATATTTATAATAAAAACAAATAAATAAAATTTAATAATTTATAAAATTAATGAAATAAAATTTTGAAAAAACATAATTATAAATTAACGTCAAAACAAAAACTATTTATAAGTTAAATATGTATAAGAATTTACTGTTGTTTTTTAGTGTTATTTTTATAACAAAAAATAATTATAAAATAATGTTATATAAAACATTTATTGATTATATTTATTATTAAAATATAATAAATAAAATAGGAAATTCAATTAAAATAAATAATTTTAAGACATATCATATTAACATCTGCTAAAACACATTGTGTTATATCGTATAACTATGTATAGTATACAGTAGTTTACTATGAATTAAGAAAATTTAATAATATTAAAGAAAAACAAAATGGATTACATTATATTATTAATTAAAATATAAAAAATAATATAATAATAACAATAATATTTGTGTTTATTTAAGATACCGAAAATAAAAACTAGTTATTATTATTAAAGTTTTCTATTTTTTATTAATTTTGTTTATTATATTTCATATTATTGATACTACTATTTTCTGAGCAAAATAATAATATTAATAAAAATAATATTAATAATCTCATAATGAATGTTAATCTCGTTGTTTGTATGACAATATTGCTGACAACAATAGCACTGCTAAACGTTGAGCTCAGTTATGCCGCTGACGGCGACAATGATGTTGGTGGTGGTGGTGGTGGTGGTGGTGGTGAGGGGGGTCAGACAGGTGCTACTGCTGACGGCTACAGCAAACAGTCGCCGGCAACCGGAGCACCGGTAGAGCTTACAACCGAAGACGAGGAAAGTTTGCTTTGGGAAGAGATATGGCGGGGATCTAATATCAACCAAAAGGGGCCGAAAGACAAGTACGGGTTTACTAAACAGTTAGCTGTAAAACGTTTGAGGGCTAAAGATATCAAATTTCTTACCGAAGTCGCCAAACATAAATACAAAGACGATTGGGATAGTTTTACACATACTATCAACGATACCTATGATGCACTGTATCATCGGATTATGGATCCGATTAAATCATCCAAACAGGTGGCCAACGATATTATAACTAAATATAGGCGAGATATGACCAAACAGTGGACCGAACTTGAGGTCAAAGTGCTTCACTTTATTTCGCCGGTAATCGAATGGATCAAAAGTGCAAACGAAATTGATTTGGACGACAATGACAGTGACCAACACATACACACAGATAATGCCGGAAATGCCAAACCTGTCGCCGACAACACATTGGCTAAGAAAGAGGTCATCAAAGCCGAAGCTATTAAATTGATTAAGAAAACAGTTGACAATGAATTGTCACAACAATCGTCACAAAATGTTATCCATATTACTACTAATAGTGGTGACAACAACGGCAATAGTTAGTCTATAAAGTGATACAAGGGGTCGGTTGGGTTGAGTTGGGAACATATGTTTCACTAATTGTATTGAAATATATATATATTTATTTAAAAAAAACAATAAATTTATTTCTATTAATAATTTTGATAAAATTTTTAGTTTTTATAAACATTAATTATATTTTATATATTTATTCTTTAAAAAACATCTTACAAAATATTTTTAAAATTTTAAATAGATTTAAGAAAAATTTTTAAGAAAACACTTTTAGCTATAATAGATACTATTATGTATTTTTCATAATAAAAAGTAATTTTATAGTCTATTACTTAAATTATTTTAAGATAAACTAACTAATACTTATTCAAGTTAACATTACTATTGAATAAATTTATAACAAGTTTAATATATGATATGATAATAGATTTTATAGCCTTTTTTGTTGTTGCAGCGAAACATAGTATTTGTAATTTTGTATGACTTTTTCAATAATAGAGTTTCTTAATTAGATATTAATATTTTGCAAATAAATTGTAATTGTATTGTGGAAAACAATTCAAAACTAATGTAATATAATAGTGTTATTTGATTAAATATATTTAAAGAAAGTTACTAATAGTAATTTTTTCAAAATTTAGCAATCTTCAAATGAATAAAAAAAACTATAAATGTCTATTTATAACTAACAATAACTGAAATAGATTTTAATAATATTCAATTATATAAAATATACAGTATAATGTAATTATTGTTTTAGATATTAAGTTATATTATTGTAACCTAAATTGTTGTAACTAAAAGTTTTAGTTATAATCATATCTTTAAAAATTTATTTTTATTAGCTTTAGACGGACAAAACTGATACACAAATAATATTTTAAGTAAGTATTTGTAAAGTTAGTGCAATTTGTTGTAAATGATAATATAAATAATCTACAGTTTTTATTTAAACTGCATGAATGTATCTTCTAATCTAATATACATAATATTTTAATTGTAGATTTCATAAAATCATAGATATATTTTAACTTTTTTTTTAAATATTTAAATTTATTAACAACTAAAAATATAAGAATTAATTTTTATTATATATACAGTATTATTAATTGTATCTATACATAGAATATACCGTATAAATTAAAATATATAAAATATTCTTTATAATTTTCTTTTAAAATATACATTATATTACACACACAAAATCAAATTTTATAATATAAAAGGGTATAATATTTTTTTATTAATATTAATTATTATCTATTTCTACTAAAATAAATTGAATAATATTATACTGTATTATCGTATTACACTTAATAGCATTAATCTTATATTACAATTTATGAGATTTAATTTCAAACGTAAATAATAAAAACAATGTAAAAACTAATTTAATTCAAATTAATATAAACATTTTATAAACATTGTAATCATAGTATTAAAAATTGAATTTAATTAGAGAATATTTATTAAATTTATGATAATAAAACATTTAACAAACTATTAAGTTAATTCAAGTATTTTAGTAATTATTTATTAATACATGATAAAACTTTCCAATTTTAAAACTTAAAATATTAAAGTACATTAGCTAGAATTTAAAATTATTGTTTTATCAAACAGTAATCTAAAACAACATATAAATCACTTTTAAAAAACATAAAAACAAAATTTGACTATTAATTTAATTAAATAATAATTTCAATATAATTACACACGAAATGTTTTAATCTAAAAAGCATTGTTTATTATTTATTTTTTGTCTCATTATTATGTTTTTCTGTTACAAATTTCAAGTACATATATTTTTATGATTTAATGGGTTTTTAGATACAAAAAAAATAAATAATCCAAAACTATATGTGTGTTAACAACAACAACAATAATAATATAAAAAATGCATATTAAAAGTTAGTCATTTGTAAAATAAGCGATATTATGATTTTTAGATTAATGTTAAGTTTTTTTTAAAGAAAATATATATGATTTTAGGGTTTCTCTCATGAGTGAGAAAATTATGTTTTCAATTAAATGCCAAACAAATTGTGTGAACACATTTATAACGGATATAATTATTATGCTATTGTCTTATTTCAAAACCGCTTTCAATTTCAATGTTTTTTTATATAACTGTATATCATATTATAATACATAATAATATTATTATTATTATTTAAGGGGAAAATGTAAAGTTGTGGTGTCGGAAAAAATGTTTTATTATATTTATTTATTGCATGTTTTATAGAAAGTAAAAAGTTTTATAACTAATTATTGTTTATAACTACTGGTATATACTATTGTTTTTCGAAAAATAAACAATTATTATTATTATTATTATTTCAATTGAATTTAACTAGTTTATTGTGTTACTACATCAACAATAACAGCAAAATTATATTATGATTGTATTTCAAATTTTGAAACATTTTGTTTAAGCTTTTTTTGTTATATTTTATTATTGTTAMAAATTATTACCGCAATACAAACAAATAGATTTTACTATTGTAAAAATGCTATTAATTTTGTCAACTAAATTTTTGCTAATAATTTGTGTGACTTTATTAGTGACTATATGTGAGGCTCAATATTATAACCGTTAYGCCGATGCCGGTCCTGCATATCACACGTCACGCCAGTTGCCARCATCGGAATCATCGTCATCATCGAGAATAGGACAGTTGTTTCGGTCACCAGTGCCTCGACAACGACATGTTGAACGGGATATCTATCGCAACGATGAGTCGTCACTGGCGGCACCCTATATGAGACAAAGGGCTTCTCCGCCTACAGTCTCACATATTTATGATTATAAACCCAACGGTTATCGGGAAAGTGTACAYTGGAATAGAGATTATCCTCTCAAAGGGGTCGAGTATGTCGACGATGACGGATATATAGATAGGGATATTAAAATACCCGACAAATTTCTTGGTGATAGTGAACATCGGCACCGGGAGAGTGACAAACATTATGAAAAAGATCATAAAGAAGGAGGTATTGAATTTTTAATATCATTTTCGAAAAAATTAATGAATATATAAATTACATAAATATTTATACCTATAAATTATAAAAAGTTGGAATAATTATTTTTAAAAAAATAATAGAAATCAGTTACCGGTTCAATAAACATTAAAACAATAAACTTGAATTTTAAGTTAAAAAGTATTTTTTAATAACAGTTATATTACTACTACAACTACTACTGTAATTATAACTATAATATCTCATTATATATATTTATAAATTTAGAAAATTATTTTTAAAAATATTTTATAATTAGAATTAGATTAAAAATTCTATTTTATTAATAATATAATTTTAAAATGTTGGACATAATACTAGATTAAACAATCATTAAACTTTAAAACACTTTAGATTAGTTCAAAAACAATTGTTTAATGACTATCAATAAGCATAAATATGATTGTAATTAGTAATAATTTATTACACAAAAATTAATGTATTGTATTTATTATTATTATTAAGACTATTAATACGAATATATCAACACGAAACTATTTATATATTTTTAAATAAATAAAAATTAATTATTTTTTGAAACAGCGGCTAAAAAATTTGCTACAATTAACAAACACTCTGATAGCGGTCACAAAGAGGCCGAAGTRTCCAAATTAGGTGGTTTCAAGAACAAGTATGCAGAGGGACGTAAGGAACTGGATCACGAAAAGAGTGGCAATTTTGGCGAATACTCTCACGACAGGGGACAYGGGTTTGTCAAGTCGTGGTCGTGGGACAGGGCTAATGCCAAACACGGAGCCGCAGCCGAAATGACAAAAAAACTGGCCGAAGGAAAGGCTGGAGATAAGGGAGGATATGTGTCAGTGAAGGCCAAGGGTAGCGAAGCGCACGACAAAAACGGTTTGACGTCTGCCGCCGGTGCGGCCGGTTATGCAAAGGCCGGTCGTGTGGAGAGTAGTGAGAAATCGGAAAACACTGGCAGTAAGGCTGACTATGATCAGGAGTTTCCTATTTTTGGTTAAGCCATGTATGACTCACTAGTAGATTGTAAATAATTTTTTGTTGTTATTTTTCATTATTATAGTTAATACTGTATATTGTTTAATAGTTATCTATTAATATATTAATATTTAATAAATTTAACTCATGTGTGCCTTGAGTTTAATGACAATGAATTTATATATTGATATTTATAGCAATTTTTTTGTCATTTATTACTACAGTACTATATATTCTTATAATATGATAGTTTTGTTATTATAATATTTTCAGATTGAYTGACCTAAATATTTAAACATTTTCAATTAAATGTTTTTTATATAGATATTATACAAATTGTTAATAGTTTTTAATTTATAAATTATTTGTTATTTTTTGTAGTAATGTTATTATAATAAATAGTTTAAAAAATAAATATGCAATCACTTTACATTTTTTTGGATAATGCAATTGTAATATTTATGCACTGTATAATAGGACATTAATAATATAATTTATATACATTTGGTTAGTCTAATATTTAATAYATAATTTTTGTATYTAATAATATTATAAAACATTGATACCTATTATATAAATCYAACAAAAAAATACTTTTCTCATAAAATTCTAACATTGAATAATATTTATTATTTTYACATAAATATATGATAATGAATGTTCACTTAGAAAATAAAAAATGCATTATTTTTATAGATTTTTACGGATTATTGTTATATTTGCATTATTATTGAGTCAAAGTAATACCACTAAAATAAATTAATTATTAAAATTAAGAAAACTTGAAAAAAACATTTCTAATCGTATTACAAAAAACAAATTATAATCATATACTGATATGAATTTAATATGAATTACTTATTAAGAGTTTTATGTAAAAATTATATATTAATATATAAATATAGTATTTTTATAACCAATAAAAACATTAGTAAATATAATGATCATATTATTTTAATATTATTATCATTAAAATTAATAATATTATTATTATTTGAAATATAAAAAATAGAAATTTATGTAGAAAAATAATAAATAATAGAAAAAACAATTCACTAATTATTARTTTATTTACAGTTGAAAGCATAACAAATTTTAATATTAAATATCATAGAAAAATTACTTGCATTTTAATTTWAATTTATTATAGATTAWTTTTTTTAAATATACATATTAGCCACTAAAAATATTTTTAATGTTGATCTTTTTAAAAATATATTTCGAAATAAATTTTTTATTATTATTAATATATTAATAAAATATAATTTAAATTTCTAAGAAAATAATCATTTATTTTAATTTAAAACTACAATAACAATATTTTAAATTTATTATAAACTTTGTTTGCATTGTTCTGGTTTAGTGCCCTAATAAATAATAAGAAAGAAAATATGWAAATATSTAAATAATTACTGGTATTTKAAAAATATACAAAATATTTTTAATTATTAATAAKAWAAATTATTTGCATATTTTTRAAACAAYAGGTAATTAGTTGATTAGWTAATTGATTRAAATAATAATAWTATTATTATCATAGTTATAATTTACCTGATAAGTATCGCACACTAATTTGAGCAAGTTATTTTGTGCCTGTTCCTGAATATTATCATTATGAACGCCATTGACAATGACCCAGGGTACATAGTTTGGTTTAGGTATCTCATTTTGACGGTCCTCCCCGTGCACTAAATGTAGACCCCGTCCATATGGACCAGTAGTGCACTCATTAATTGTAGTCCAATTGAAAGACAATTGATCGGCGCACTGAAAAAAATTTAATCAATGTAAAGTAAATACAGTATATGTAATACTTATTATGTGTATATAAAAAATATAAAATAAATATATAAGTATTAATAAATTATTTATAAACTAATGATTGTTTGTTTTAGTAAAATAWATTTAAATAATAGATAAAGCATTATTATTTTAAATCTATTCATATAATTAGTATTTTTKACACGTATATAGTAAAAATAATTAAAAAATTTTAAAAATATAAATGTTTGTTTAATAATTATTTTTAATTAATTWATTTTAATTCAGATTTATTTTTAAAATCAAAAATAATTATTCAAATATATATAATATATATATATATATATATTTAAATATAGATAACTAAAAAGTTTACATTACAAATCTGGTAGTATATATATGGACTGATATACTGTATAATATAATTTGTACATAAGTACTATTATTTAAGTGTATTGAAGTGTGTTTTTTAAATTTATTATCAAAAAAGATAATCAATTTATTTCTTATAATATATTTGTATATTACTATTAATAGACAATAATACAATAATTCTCTATTTTTAATCTAAAATTTAATTTCTATATCCCTTTCACTCCTTTTTTTATCTTTAAACTCTAACCTATTTAAAACAAACACATACACACACATACATACACACACACACATACATACATACATACATACACACACATACATACATACATACATACATACATACATACATACATACATACATACATACATACATACATACATACATACATACATACATACATACATACATACATACATACATACATACATACATACATACATACATACATACATACATACATACATACATACATACATACATACATACATACATACATACATACATACATACATACATACATACATACATACATACATACATACATACATACATACATACATACATACATACATACATACATACATACATACATACATACATACATACATACATACATACATACATACATACATACATACATACATACATACATACATACATACATACATACATACATACATACATACATACATACATACATACATACATACATACATACATACATACATACATACATACATACATACATACATACATACATACATACATACATACATACATACATACATACATACATACATACACACACAAACAATCAAACATAAATACATAGACACATAGGAATTAATTTGAACTAAAAATAAAAATATTTGTTATATTAATGTATTTTTATAATACCTTTTTACCGGCCGCTGTCGTATCCTTCCAATTGTTGTCATTAAACATACATTCAAACAGTTTTAGTGATCGATCGATAGACACAGTGGGCAATACACAGTCCTAAATGATAATTATAGATAAACATATTAATTAAGATAAAATTAGCATTGATTTTACATTTCCAACATTAATTAGTTTGTGAAATGTTATACAAATGAAACATAATTTCCTAATTAATAGTATATGATGTAATAGTATACATATTTTGTATATTGTATATAATTTAATATATATATATATATATATATATATAGTATATGTAAAATATTTATTTTAAACTAATAATTATTATTTTAGACACACTGATAATTAACTAAAAAAATATGTTTCATTTTTTCATTGAAAAAAAAATTATTTATAAGCAAACGTTTTTGTTTAAAAAAATAATTAATGGTTTTAATCTATAATATATGTATAAATTTTATATTTAAAAAAATAAAATAAAAATTGACTAAATAAACAATTAGATAAAAATAAATAAATACTGACATGTATTTTRTTGCCAATACATTCATTAGTACCATGCTGACATGTAAAATCTACATCAAAATCACCGTCCGATCTAAGAAACTTGTTCCATTTTGCATTGCCAAACGGTACCAGGTGCAAATCAATGATCTGGGCTAATTTAGTATAGGTAGGTATCAATTGGTCGACAACAAACTGTTTGCTATACGGACACAACGATTCGTAGTGTAACTTAATATTTACGGYTGACTGGCCATAACCAGGCTGTGTGTATAATACCAATAGGTTGGTAGTAGTCAYCAATAAAACTACAGTAACTAATTTAACATGGTACATTGCGTTTGATTATATTTTTGCCAAAACAACGAGAAAATAAACAAACAAACAAACAAAATAAAAATTTATTTCTTTTACTTGAATAAGCAATTTATTAATTCAATCTTTTGTATTTAGATTTACTAGAAAATAAAATAATAGAAATTTTATTGTAGTCTTCAATAACTTGTTGCAAATAAATTATTTATCGATTTTATTTTTTTGCATTTTAATAGTCTATTTTTATTGTTAACTTTTTTTTTATTAATTTAACCTTATTGCTATTTGTTATGACTATATCTTAACAGCATAGTGCTGATAGTAACTTAGATTTTTGTAAAATTTAATATTATTATTATTATTATTACTAAATTKTCTGATAATTATTGTTTGATAATTTAATTTTGAAAAGTAATTAAATATTTATTTAGAATAATTTTTATTTTTTAAAGAAATATATATAATAGAAATGTATTGTTAATTAATTAGATAGCTATTGAGAAAATATCTGTTTTTTATAATTTAATTTTTAATTTATTWATAATAAATAAAACAAATAAGGATATTAATATACTGTACATTTTTTAATCATTTTAATGTGCCTAAAWTTAACTTTTTTATATCTAACAAKATATACAGTATATATATATATATATATTGATTATTAATTAGTTTTGTTTTATCTTATTGCATTAAATTACTTTTTCTAACATTTCTACTTAATTTGTGAAACGATAGCAAATTATCAAAATATTTAATAAATATACAAATAATATATAAAGTATATGATTAGTTAATTGTGAATTGTTATTAGCGATTACTAAATTATATAGTGGATATTTTATTATCAATAAAAACATGTGATTTCTATTATATTATATTTACGACATAAAAATACTATTTAATATAATTTATAAATATTATAATACAGTACCGGTATATAATATCTGTATATATACTATAATATATATAATACTATATTATATTTTTTATTAGAGATACATTTTAAAAATAATATAGCATTAAACTAAACAAATATTTACTAGACATAAACMCATAGTTAATATTSAAAATGATAATAATTATRAATTAAAACTAAAAAGTAATTTACTAATTGTGAATATTTAAATTAAATATTATAATTTATAAATCAAATTTAGCATAAGATAWCAAATTATAGTGCAAAAATAATTAGTCATATTATTATTAATGTCACAAATATTGTTTTAAAATTTSTAAATAATTTATTAAAAATATATTTTTAAATATTTTTATTATTTAATATATTTATATATTATTYTATAACAAAAKGTTTACTAATTAATAAATATTAGATTAATAAACAAACAAAAATATATTGTTTATAATTAATGTCTGGTTATTATCTAAGTATACAATACTGTTATATTTGTCATTGATTGAAATAAAAGCATATTTAATAATTATATTTTTGACGATAATAATATTAATAATAATAATAATAATAATAATAATTGTATTAAGTATTCATAAATTAATATATATACAGTTATAATTATTWTAATAAAGTATATATTAGATAATAATAATACGGATTGAAAAWCAGTAATTTAACAATCATTGTTAAWTAGTTTGATATATATTTTAATTAAATGGCAAAATATATATAAGTTTATTTTACTTGGAAATAACTTATCGGAGTTATTGTACTGTAATTGTTGTCAAAAACTGTTTATCATTAGTAGACTAATAGTAGTAGATMTACTTTATAGCTATTAAAGTGTTGTTTTATATGTACAGCACTTATAGGCTTTCCGTGKAGTATATAATTTAGTAGTTATTATTGTTGTTRTGWATAAGTAATGTTTTTAATAATAATTATAAAATAATTATGTTTAATCATCTAATAAAAAATACTAAAATTCAATTATGATGGTTTCTACYATTTTYTTTATGGTTGCTATAAATAAAGCAAAATCTAAATAAAAATAGTTTTTATTTGACTTAAGATTTTTTTTCGTATWATATAATGTGTTAGAAAAAATAACAATTTTCATGCTTATTGTAATTTACATATACAATATACATGTAAATTTTTCATTTATATTCGGAAAATTACAATTTAATACAACTAAAATAAAAGTTTAATAAAATTTTTATTTACTTTTTTCTAAAAAAACTCACATGGAAATTAGTTKGAAATTTTTTATTATTATTTTTATACTATTTACTTAAGTAGATTACATAATAATTTTTGTAAACATAATATTTTWATTTTAAAAATATTTAGTAAGCATTTAAAATAATTTAATAAAAATCAGTCAAGAATTTGTTGTAAATGTTTTTTAATTTAGCAACTTTTTTTTAATTATACATTAATTGGTAATAAATATTTTTTACTTTAATAAAAAAATAGTTAAATTAATTATTATTAGTTTTTTTTGCACCTTCAMATKTCCATATTGATGATAATAGAAAAATAGTATCAATGTCATTTACTAATTTTTTCTAATTTATTAGCCATGTWAAGYGCCTGGTTTATAAACATTCTAGTTTTTTAAATAAAAATAAAATTAAAATTTCATAAGAATMTRTATATCAATAAAAAWTTTTGGTAAAAAATAATAATAATATTTGTTTAGTTAAACATCATASATACAGTTTTGTTTGCATTATTTACATTATTTGCATTTACATCAATTTTGTTGACAATGTTTGATATATCTCCGGGTGTATTAGTCGACTGTAAACTACGATTGTTATACAAGCCATTACTATTAGACACAYTATTCATATTGCTAGTAATAGACATATTATTATTATTATTATTATTATTATTATTATTATTAGCTGAAACAGTGGCTTGTGGTGTRCTATCTTTATTAAAAATTAATGGCACWGATAGWTTGGTGCTACTATTAGTTTGGTTATTAGGTGCTTCCTGTCCTCGAGATATACTTCCCTGATTGCCCGGTCCMTGATTAATGTGGTTTGAATGCGAATCAATCAATAGTTGTCTGTTTTTACCCATATCTGATTGTGACAGTATTGATGGTAATAATGTCGGCAATATATGATTAGTGACAACTGTGCCGTTAGCTAAACATTAGTCAAATAAATAGATTATTATGAATATACTATTGTATAWCTAATTATAATTATTTGAAGAGTCAAATAAAAAAAAGTTATTATTATTATTATTTATATTAATAATAATAGAAATTTACATACCGTTAATATTGGATTGTGATATASTATTGTTTTTATCACTGTTAACACTATTAGATTGGGAATTATRTGGAGTACCGGGAATTATATGACTGTTATTAGCTATCAATGCATCCATAGTTTGCATCGTCTAAATGATGCATAAGTGAACATTTTTTATGATCATGATGTGAATGATCATCACCTAATGTAATCATAATAATAATAATGATATTATTAAAAATTATTGAAATATATAAATAGAGTAAAAAAATAAATTATAAAAATAATATAATTGGACCGCAGTTTGAGGTCAAATGTCAAAAAAAAGTTTGCCGATTAGCCAACAAAATTATAGACGAAAATGTATATAAAATTAAAAAATTGAAATTATAAAAATAAAAAATAATAATTTTCTGGTAAAAGCAAATAGAGTATAGAGTATTAATTAAATTATTTTCGTAATAAAATTTTTATGTTTTCATATAATATTATACAAAATATATGCAGTATTTAAAAAAATAAAATACTTGTTTGATTACCATTTGTCTGTATTGCTAATACCGGTAATRTTTTAGTATTTTCACTAWTATTTCTTACATTACTAGTTGGTACCTATATAGATAATAAATATTAATAATTTAACTATTARATATTTTTATATAATWAATAAAGTAATAATAATATACCAGTACTTTAGGCACTATTATGCTGTTTTTGTCGTTGTTGTATAATGAAGAACCACTGGGATGATGATGATGCTCATGTTGGTGGGGATKAGGGTGGGGYTGATGGGGGTCGGGTTGAATCTGAACACCGGGAATTATGTGACTGTTATTAGCTATYAATGCATCCATRGTTTCATCGTCTAAATGATGCATAAGTGAACATTTTTTATGATCATGATGTGAATGATCATCACCTAATGTARTMATAAWAATAATAWTATATTCAAAAATATTGTAATATACTAAATAAAAAAAAGTTAAATATAAATCATATAGAAAATACAAGTCATCCAAAAAARCTATATTTAAAAACAAATATTTATCTAATTATTTGCATGAATTACATATTTATTGTACAGTATAATATACAGCATYAYAAATATGATAACTGTTTTAAATAACCATTTGTTTGTATTRTAATAAATGGTAATGTTTTTATTTAATACAGTAATAGTTTAGWAATAAAAAAGTTTTGTTTGAAATAAAAATAGATAATGTATTCTKTATTTACCTAATGTTTGATTAATCATTTTGTTATCTTTACCCGGAAATACTTCCTGTTGTTTATCCATAATTTCAACAGTGTTTAAGTGTGGCACTGGTAGATCTTTTMTCSTGTCTTTTAAAGCGGTAACATTTTCATGGGTATGGTGCTGGTGCTGGTATTTATTTAGTGACGGCAGTATTGTCTGATTTTTTGTCAACAAAATGGTCGGTAATGTACTGTTTTTTTGGGTGAAACCAAACTTTGTTGGATAAACCGAATCAATAGTGGTTTCATTACAAATGTCCGGTTTGTAGCCCTAATAAGGTTTGTATTAATACTATCGTATTACTATTATTACTATTATTTTAAATAAATACGATAACAGTATGAATATATTATTTTACTTTAGACGGGACAACAATTTTTAACACATAATCCCAGTTAYGTTGCCATTAAATCTAATTTTATTACATAAGAGTGGTTTTYATTAACTCTTATATAWTATATATTTATATATACAGTTTATATATATATATATATACATATATATAGTATACAAATATCTTACAAAATAATAATTAACATAATAGACAATAWCCGTAACTATAACAAAAGCATTTACAATATAAATTTATTATGTTTGTAACATTGTTAAATAATTTATGTAYAATATAACTTTATATAYAAGTATAGATATATAAAATTGGTTTATTTTACCTTATAATACATTGTTTTTWAAAATTTAAGAAAATGTAAAAATAGAGTTTTGATTWGATTTAATAATAACAAAAAACGAGAAAATAAATTAAACTTTATTATACTGTATTGTTAACTATTAATTTATATGCATTTAAATGAGATTAAATAATAAAATTTTATATTTGTATATACAGTATAATGAATTCTTTTATATAAGTTATTAATAGTGAATTTAACAGAAATTTACTTTATCTGAATTATAAATTTTTAAATTTATATAAAATATATAAATTCTAACAAATTTTAATTAAATTAATATTTTTATCATATAATTATATRGATMGATTTTTATAAATTATAATTTAAAATATACTGTATATATCTATATACTGTATTTATTATTCATTATAATAATTTTATATTAATTTTAAAAATAGATTTAAATATAAACATAGTAATWCAATATTGTAATATAAAGTTTTATATTGAAGTATTCATACTGTATRAAAATCAAATTATTAGTATATAATATTTTGTTTTAAGTATTTTGTGAAAAAAATATTTTATTTATTAACTATGCTAGGCAACAAAAAATCAATAAAAATATTTTTAAAAGATATTTTCATTTTGAATACTATTTATTCACTAAATAAAAATACTTTAAAAAATGAGCAATATTTTTATTATATATATATATATACATTMTWMAGTTATTTTATACATACAGTATATATAAAAGTTATTTTAAAAATARAAAGTAAAAAATACTGTGMAAAATTAATTTTGCTTATTTTATTYAAATCTATAWACTGTAGTTGCAATTGACTATTTATATTAATTTTTAAAAAATACTTAAGTAATAYTGTATAATAAGCTGTAAAAATAACAAAGTAATCAATAATATCTCAAATTAGACAATTTAGCCAATAATTTGGCAATGTTTTCATTATAAACAATAATGATAAAATCAATAATCAATTAGTATTTTTGTCAATTATTTATGATAAAACTATCAATTATTAAAAAAAGACATTTAAAACTCTCAAAAAAAAATAATTTCAGATTAATTTTAATAATAATATTTTTGTGATTATTTTTAAGTAACTTTTTTAAAAAATAACTATTTGATAATTTTTATAAAAAAAACTTTTTTACTTACATTTCAAATTATGTTAAAAATAAATAACTATTTATTTTATATTAATAATAATAATAAAATTTTTAAAAACTAGAGTAAGTCTATGATTAACAAAATAGCATTCACTTACTCTATAGCTATCGCACACCAATTGAATCATATTTTCAAATGCTTTCAATTCATTATGTTTGCTATATTTGCCATCAATGGTAATCCATGGCACGTGTGTATGTTTGGGCCGCAATTGTTCAACTTTTCTACCGTTAAGCCATTGAAATGTTTTGCCTATCGGTGAACGGGTGCACTCATCCATCAAAATCCAGTCAATACTTAATTGTTTGGCACACTATTTATATGTTTGTTAAAATAAATATATTATATAAAGTAAATCAGGATTTTTTTTAAAAATAAACTGTTTTTTGTTAGCAATATTATGTAATAAATTGTAATTTTAGTTTACATTTCTATTACAGAGAGAACAAAATATTATTTTAATGTAATAAAAAAATAACAAAAATTTATATATTGTGTTTAATAATCGGTTTATATGTTTAAAATATTTATTTTGTGTGTGTATAGAGTCTATAGACCTTAATGTGAAGATTAGTTTCTGTATAAATTATATTTCATAAATATATATATATCAGGGTTAAGCAAGGTTTTGGATTTTAGGGGGGGTAGACCGGGGTAAAATTTACAAAATTCTCAAAAAATCTTGGGGGGGGTATTGGGTGGGGTAAGATTTTTATTGCATTTTTAAACGGCAATTTTTTCAAAAATCCAAAATCAAGGGGGGGTCTAGAGAAAATTCCCTAAAAATTCCTTAAGTTCCCGAATATTCCCATGTAAATTCAATAAAATTCCCACAAGTTCCCGTATAAATTCCCGGGAAAATAGGTAAAATTTCCAAAAATATAAAAAAAAACTTAAAAAACTTAAAAATTAACAAAAATTTAAATTTTAACAAAAAATAAATATTTTTTAAAAAATTTTTTTAAAATTAATAAAAACTTAAATTTTTTACAAAAAAAAATAAAATAATGTATTTAAGATTTAAAAATAGTTGATAAAAGCATTAATGATACACTATGAGTTATTTTTAGTATTTTAATAATTTTTAACTTTTAACATAATTAATTTTTTAAACAATACTTAATGTTTATAGTTTGTTATATATTTTTATTTTTATACAAATACTGACTGAATACTACTTATTTAACTCAAATTTCGTTAAAGTTTAATTATATTAAGTACAAAATTGAAAATATTTTTAAATTTTTTATTTAAAATTTAAAAATTATTAATAAAAACATAAGTATTTATTGTTTTATTAACTTCTTAAACTTATATTTAAATTGTAATATGATTACTCTTTTCAACAAATAGGTAATTTTTAATTTTTTAGTTTATTTTAATTAAAATAATGTTATTTTTTGATGACTTTTAACGTTATTTTAACTATTTTTAATCAATAATTAGATTTTTATAAATATTAAAAACATAAAAACACTTACTAAAATAGTATCAACTAAAATTAAAATTTTTATAAATTTCAAAAAAATTTTCGGCGCCTTCGGCGCCGAAATTTTAGGGGGGGGGTCATTTCTCCTCGTTTTTAAGCGACAATTTTTTCAATTTGGTCAAAAAGTCTGGGGGGGTAAAATCCCAATTTTTCGATCTTAGGGGGGGGTATTTTGGCCTTACCCCCTACCCCCCCCCCTTACTTAACCCTATATATATATATATATATATATAATGTTATTTATAGCAATTTGCTTACGTCGGATATGAAAAATTTTATTATCTTATTACTGTATTATCATTTATAATATATAAGTACAGTATTTTATTATTATTATTTTTTATATTATAAATAGAATCTCAATAATAATAATATGTTATTAATTTTTGTATTATTTAAGTCATAACAAGTGTATACACATTTTTTAAGGCAATAATTTTTAGTTACAGTAGTATACCATAACAAAATCAACAACAACTTTATTATTATTAGTAATATTATTCAAAATCATATCATAATTTAGAATAATATACTTTATATAAAGGACAGGACAGTCATTATCGGAGAAGCCGACATTAAATCAAAATTTTCAGTTTCCGGATCAGTAGTTGTATCGGACCATACTATATATTATCCGACATTGTTATAATAGTAATAATAATATATATATATATGTAATATTAATTATATAGTTTTTTTTAATTTTTACCATAATATTAAATGTAATATATTAATACATTTAAATAACTGAGTTTTAGTTAACACTTTATATAAATAAAGCTAAATTTATTTAGAATGCTAATATAAGAATTAAAATTATTTTAAATATTAATATATTTAAAATAAAAAAACAAATAAAATGATTTTGAGATGCCTTTAATAATAATAATAAAACAAGTAATAACAATAAAAGTCTTAAAAATATAATAAAGATCTTTAATCTCTCACATAATATGTTTGGAGACCTGACAGCCGTATTAATATCACACTATATTTTGTTATATAACATAATAAAAAACTTAACTGAGAGATGATTTTAGATATTATTTTTTTCAAATAAAATAAAAATATTTTTGTTGTTTAAATTTTTAATGAAAATATACTAATCAAATAATAAATATATATTGATATATAAAAATAAATATATAAAAAACATTATAAATTATATAACTATATATACCTCGGGGCCAGTTATACTGGGTATCGACCAAGCGTTATGTTTATACATACATTCAATATATGCAATGCTATACTCGCGAGGCAGTTGAGCCATAGCACATGCCTTAAAAAATAAAAAATTGTTAATTTATAAATTAAACTTAAAAATTATTGATTTAATATATTAATTGTTGATATTTTTCTAAATGTATGAAACGTTTATATTAAAAAATAATTCTAATAATATCCTTAATATACTGTACTTAAACATTGTTATCGATATTCTATTATGATTTTAATCATAATTATATATCTATTGTTTGTTTTCCATTCAAGTTAGTAAACATGTTAATTAATATTATTTTAAAAAACAATATAAAATCTATAATTGTTAATTTGACAAACATGTATAATATATAAAATTTTGTAGTTGTATAATTGTTAACAACAAAGTGTGTCATAATATTTTCTATGCATATATTGAGTCTATAAACAAGGGAATAAAATGTCTTTTAATATATACTATGAATAGTATATTAGTATTCATATATACTAGTATAATATTAATATAATAGTTTAGTATAGTATAGTATAGTATATCAAATATAATTTTTAAACAGAAATTGAAAAACTCAATATATATACTGTATAACAGCTTATTATAAAGTATTTGGTTATGTAGTATTAACTTAAACTAAAATTACATTATATATAAAATTTGTATATTATTATTATATTTTACATCATTTTTTGCACTTAAATTAATATTCATTTACTTTACATAGAAAACTAAATTATATTATTTATAAGCAAATCAAATAATAAACTTTAATTAAATAGAAGAATTTAGTCTATAAACTAAAATGTGTTTACATTTTAAATTTTGTTAATTTTATTATTTTTTATTTTTTTATATACTTAGWGATAATTCACATATTAAGTTTTCACTTGGGGGAGGGGGTGTCGACCAAAGCAAACTTYTGCGAACGAGGGTAGAGAAGGTTAGAATTTTCACATTTAAATTATTTTTTATCAAATTTAATATTTTGATAAAAACAGTTTAAATAAATATTTTACTTTTGAACAGAAATAGTTTTATTTCCAGTTTTTGGAATATTTAAACTAAATGTTTATTTAAATCATTAATTTATTATTTAAATTAATTTTATTTCTTATGGATGGTGTGGGCGGGATTGGGAACATACGAATTTTAAAGTGACTACATGTCAACAATTGCGAACATTGGGGGAGGGGGTCTCTTAAAATGTGAGAAAGTAATATACGATTCACCTCTCATATTATTTATAACATTTAAGATATTGATTATTTAAAAAATAGAACAAAATTAAAATTTAAAACAATTATTGTATTAATAGAATACAGTATTTAAATAAATCCCTTTTTTTATACATTAGCTATTAGTGAGAATAACTATATAAATAAATTACTGAATAAATTTAATTGACAAAAAAATATTTAATTTAATTAATAAAACTGCAAATAAATTATATACTAAATAAATTATAACAATTAAGTCTAATAACATYCTGAGCACTGGTACTACTGCATGTATTGTATTATACCGTACTATACTGTACACTAACTTACCATAAGGGCATTGCCGTAACAYTCGTCATAGCCGTGTTGGCACTCAAAGTTCAGTCCCGACGGCGGTATTGTTGTATAGTTGTCAATAAGTGTATGGCTGTGACCGTATGGTATGAGTTCCAGGTTCATAATGTTAGCCAATTTACGCCACGCAGGGATGGCCTGTTCAATCACTATTTCCTTACTATGAGGACATATTARTTGGTARTGTATKRTCACATCTACTTTGCCCAATGAGCCATTGACAYAATTGTTCAATTGTTGGATAATTATCAAAAATATTAAAATTAATTTACAATTAACTAAATTATTATAGTCAGACATTTTTTGATTTATTTTGTCTTWGATATTAATATAATAAATCTTATAACACATACGTATTACACGTATTATTCAAGTAATTAATTAATTAAGTTTTATTAATTATAAATTTCTAATTAATAAATTAATTATAAGTAAAAGTATATTTTTATTTTMAAAGACTATATTTAATAATGAGATACAACAAATTTTAGTTATTTAATTTTTTTTAAATTATAATTATTATTTTAATATAACAAAACTATTTTGTTTTAAAAAATATTTAATTTAATATTTGTAATCATTAATTATATAYAACTRCAGTACTATCAATAACTAATACAGTAAATATACAGTATTTTACTTTACTTTACTAAAATGTTTAATAAATATTTATAATTTAAAATCACAATACAATATTTTGTTATACAATTTGAATTTTTATTAATAATAATTAAGTTAAATTCATAAAATAATAGTTTAATAAAATTAAAAATGCAAATTTTTAAAAATAAAAAATATATAAAATAAAAAATATATAAAATAAAAAATATATAAAATAAAAAATATATAAAATAAAAAATATATAAAATAAAAAATATATAAAATAAAAAATATATATAATAAAAATGTTTATAAAATTGAAGTAAAAATAGTTTTTAATAACTTTTTAAGTTTTATTTAAACATTTATAAAAATATCTATATCTTATAATTTATGTATATTTTTTGGATATAAATTTTATCAAATACAGTATTTGACTCACTATTAAATTCAATAGAAATAAAATCTGAATTTATTAACAATAAATTATTTTAATACAATACATTTTTATGTTRATATTTTTAATTATGCAATTAAAAATTATTTTTATTAAAACATTTTACGWAAAAAATAACTAAGAAACTAAAGTGATTTAAATATTATCAAGACTACTATCACTGATTTTTCGATAAAATAATTATAAACAATTTTAAACTAGATTTTTTATAGAGTTTTATACACTAATTTTTGTCAATAAAAATTACAAGTTATTTATAGTTAAAATTAAAAAATAAAATAATTATATTAAGTTTATCTACCTAAAATTGTATACCGCTTTCTAGTTCAACATTAAAATTATTGAACTTGATTAATTTATTAATAAACTCTCAAACAAATAAAATAATATTTTCTTAATTAAAATTACCGGTAATATAATTTATAATTATTAATAATATGCGTTTTCAATTAATTAGATTTTATTGTTTGCGCAAATATTTTACATTAATAATTTATTTTTATATAATGAAAAGTTTACAATATTATTACAATAGTATTAATTAATAGAAATTAAAAAATTATTTTAATTAAGTTAAATTTTGTTTTATATTCGACAATAATATACATAAATATTATTTAAATAAATCAATGGCACAAAATTAATTTTATTGAAAATATATTATATTTACATTATTGTTAAACTTATTAACATAAACTCATATAAATTATTAAAAATTTATTTTATTTTTATATTGTGGTTAGCTTTAAGCTATAAATTAATTTTTTACAAGTAGTCCAATAAAACAAAAAATAATTAATTTTCACAATAGATTCCAAGAAAATGATAATAATAATAATAATAAGCTTTATTAATAAGATATTATATTAAAAAAATCATTTGACTACATATTACTTTTATTATTTAAAAGCATATAATATTAGAAAAATAACACAAAATCAATAAATAATTTCGTAATAATGATATAAAAATTTATAGATAAATATATGGAAAACATTTTTTTACAAATATATATATGCAATATATATATTTTACATAGAATTATATTCAGATTTTTAAATTTATAATTAATTGTTAAAAAAATAAATTTAATAACTATAACAAATTCAATAATTATATATAGATATATATATATATATATATACAGTACTTGAAATAGATTATTCTTAAAAATAAATAAATCTTATATATATAAAGTATGTACTCAATTGCTTTATAAATTATAAATTATAATTATACAGTATATAAACTTAAACTTAATTAAAGGCTGATATTTTTTACACTAAACCAAAACCAAAAAACATAAAAGAGTTTTTTTGTTTGTTTTTATATTTAATACTTTTTTCATAAAAAATCTTTCTAAGTAATAATGTAATATTGTTTATAGTCTCATTAATAGTGTATCTAATTTTATGATAAAAAATAGATTTATTTTTTATTTCAGTCAATAATATTATATTATATTATTACAGATCATTTTGTTTATTATGTTTCCAGTAATATTATATGTTATTTATTAATTACTTTTTCATAGTAAATTAGTTTCATAATATACAATATTATATATATATATATATAAATATTGAATATAGATATTAATATATCATTTAATCATAATAACTTTTAGTTTGGAAAAAACATTACAAAAATACATACAATATATTAATATATTGCGAACTATACAGTAGTTGTCAAACGATTTTTATCACTATAATTATAATTATTGTTATTATTATAACTACTATTACTACTATTGAAACTATCACTATGAAAATAAATATGTTTATTATTATTATTATTATTATTATTAGCATTACCATGCTTATAATTATCATTATCATTGCCATCAACATTATTATAATTGTTAGTTTGGACATTACCAATGATTTTCATAGTAGCTCTAGTGTTACAATCGGAGTGATCATAGCTATCGGATACGACTTTTACCGGCAAAATAATATTAGTAGACCTGGCTACACCGCTACAACAATCSGTAGCAGTGTCTCGACTATGGCCAGTGTTGCCAGTGGCGCACCCATGGATTTTGACAAACAGCTGATAGATAACGTCAATCATTAGTCGACGCAATTTTTTTGAAAATATCAAATAGATTAGAGGATTGACCCCTGAATTTAAATAAAGCAATAAAGTTGTTAATATTGTAAACATTGTGGCAAAAGCCGAGTCCACTTGATAGCCGTGCAGAAAATGTTGGGCCAGTTTGCGGGCATGAAATGGGGCACTAAACAGGGCAAAGGCTACAACAATCACGATAAGCAATTTGATGACCTTTTTGCGCCTTTCTATTATCAATTTGATGGACGACTCACTCAGATGGTTGTCCCCGCCGTGATTTGTACAGCACAGTCGTGTTTTAAACGACATGGCATCGGTGTAAGTGTTATGGGCGGCAACACTACCTCCACCACCACTACTATTATTATTATTATTATTGCCGTTACATACCGGTTGCGATTCGCGCGACGACACGTTGTTCGGTGTCGATGTTGTCGACCGATTCGCTTGTAGACTATAGCCGGGCAACGGACTGGTCCACAGATGATAACATACACGCAGATAGAGTACAGATATTATGATAAGCGGTGTAATAAAGCACAGAGCGATGTACACAACATCATATAGTTTGGCGTCATATATGACTTGTTTGAGTACACATAATGTTTGGGTTTCTGATAGAAAAAAAGATTTAAAAAAATTCAATTCAAATAACTGTTTTGATTCAAATTTTATTTAATTTTACTTATATTAGTATTTTTTGTAAATTTACATTAGGAATACAATTATTTTTATATATAATCTCTCTCTCTCTCTCTCTCTCTCTCTCTCTCTCTCTCTCTCTCTCTCTCTCTCTCTCTCTCTCTCTCTCTCTCTCTCTCTCTCTCTCTCTCTCTCTCTCTCTCTCTCTYTCTCTTTCTCAGCTCTTTCTAATTTATTCACAAAAAATATATAATATATACGTAAAAATTAATGTATATTTCATACACACAATTACACTTAGATTTATATAGTGTAAACCCACACATAAATTAGTACAATTACATTTTAGAAATTGTTAACATAATATAAAATTAATGATAAATATTAGAAATAAAAAACTAAAAAAAATACAAATAACTAACAAAGTTAATTAAATAAAYACCATTGAAAATATTTCACAAACTTTTTGTAAATTTTTGTTATAAATTATTTTAAATTGCATTTCACACATAAGTGTAATTTATAGTGATGCAAAATTCAGCTGAATTTTTTTAAAGCTGAATAATCAATTGGAAATTCAGATTATTTATTGATTTTATAAAACAATATTAATATTTATTGAATCATTTTTAAGTATATCATATTTTGATTATAAATTAAAACATTAAACTGAACAATAAAATGATTTAAATAATAATTAATTATTAAATACTTATTTGTGTTATTTAATTAAACTTTTATTTTATATTAATTTTAACAACTTTATCAAATAATCTCAGCGTTTATTATATTATATTAAGGTTCAGTTTTCAAAAATATTTTTATTGATAATCGAAAATTAATTGATAATATTATATTAAATTTTTAAAAGATTTTCAAAAAAAAACCGATTATTAATACGTTTTTATCTAATTTAAAGTTGAATTTGATCTGAATTTTCTGAATATTCAAAACTAAATTTTCAAAAATTTTCAATCATTTACATCATTAGTAATTTTTATAGATTTGTACTAAGAAATTAACATAATTTTGTAAAATAAAAAAATAATATAAAAATAAACTATTTGTGCAATGATTTTAACTTTACTAATTTTGTAATGTTTCAAAAATTATTAAATTTAAGTTAATGACAAATAAATGTTAATTAATTAATTAATTAATGATATGTCTAACCTTGATGTGGAAGTGGTATATGAATGGTACCGAAAATTATGAAACGAGGAAAACAACAGATGGCYGACAATAACCAGACAATGATTATTGTTATCTTCAGTTTTCTCATTGTTAGGAGCCGTCGGCTCATCAATGGATAGACCAGAGCTAAGTAGCGCTCAATGGATATGACAACCAATATATACACCGATGCCGTATAGCTCAGGGCGTGTATGAAGTGATACATACGGCACAGGATATCACCGAACGACCAGTCGGTAAACAAATAGATCGATAGGTTTTGATAGACACAGAATATGGCGACACATAAGTCGGCGATCGCAAGGTTTAGGAGGAAAAAGTTGGTCGCCGTTTGAGTTTCACGATTGAGAGCCAACACTGCTATTACCAATGAATTGCCTAATAATATGATATTAACATAAAGTCATCAGAGAATTGAATGCATTAATATTATATAAAATTATTTTATATCTATTTATATATATTATTATTAAACTATTAAATATTATGTTTTAAGATTTGTTTTTCATGATATTAAGCAATTTTTATTAAATCAAATATTTGAGTTAATACAAAAATTTCATTAATTTAGACATTATTTTTTAAAAATTATATTAATATTATAGTAAGATTTCTCTATATTCGTAAAAATAAAACTTAATAAATAGTCAAATGAATAGATATTTGAATAATTTTATTAAGCTTTATTAAAGCATAAATTAGATTAATTTATAATAATATATAAATATATAACATTTATATTAAGAATTATTACATTAGATTTTAATATATTCTTTATCATAAAAAGGTTAATAACAAAAAATATACAATAATAATAAGTTTATATCCTATGAATATATATATATATATGACTACAATATTTGTATTAATTAGTATGTATATTACAAATTGTAATTTACAATAAGACAAATATAATTATTTGATTAAATATATATTTTAGAAAATATTAAGCCTATTGTTGTATAAATATTAATAAAACTGTCTTTAAATTTGTAATATATGATTACTGATAAACAATTTTAGTTGTTTTAACTATAAAAATATTAATGTACTGTATTACAAAATCTTAGCAAATATTATTGATATGTAGCAAAACATTACTATTAATAAATGAATGATTAATTAATAAACAAATATAATTACTTAATTTTTATATTTAAAAATATAAATTATTATATATTACTAATATTAAAACATCAATTATCTAAAGAATCATATTTTAAACTATTTATATAAATAAATTAATTGTATGTAAATTATATTATTTCTTCTTATTAAAATTACTTATATAAATAAATTTTATTATGCAATTTACAAGTATTATTTGTAATATTTAAAATTAAGTCTAATAATTATAATTTTTTGTAAATATTACATTGCAATTTAAAAACTTAACTGTTTAACTGTTTAAAAAAGTAATGTTATATTAACTTTTTAAAATATAAAATGAGCATTTAAATAAAGTATTTTTACATATTTTATTTCACTAAAATTGTGTTATAAATTATAAAAATAATAGGATTACATTTATACTGTTCTGTATATAATAAGTATATCATTAAAAATTTATTATTTTAGATAATGTTTGTAATATCATATATATTGTATTTCTTATATAATAAAACAAAATATAAATTTTAATCTTATTTTATATAATATTAATAAAACTAAAATAACTTAACTTTAAAAATATCATTTGAAGAAATAAACTATTAATGTTTTTTTATTATTGTATTCTTACTATWATATAAAAATATATTAAATTAATATATACTTATTTATAAGCTTTAATGGTTTTTATCTATAATTATAATAAAAATAATTAATTTATAAAAATAAAACTATTATTCAACAAAAAATAATTTTGTTTTTCAATATTTGCTTAACAATTTGTTAATAACTTATTTATAACTTAGATATTTATATATCTTAATAATTAAAATATTGCTCTAATTGTATTATTAATGAAAAAATTTTAATACAAAAAAACTTAATTAATTATTCTGTGAAAAATTTATTAATAACAAAATTAATTATTATTAAGTTTATTACATAATTTAAAACTAAAACCTAAATATTAATTAATTAAATGTTTAATTTTCTAAAAAATTACTTACCTATGAAACAAATGATAAAAACTAGTGAATAGATGAATGTTAGAAATATTTTAAAAGATAATGTCGTAAATATATTATTGTTTTCGTCATCAAAATAATTAACAAAATCTGTAATATTTATAGTTGTATTCATAGTTGACTTTTGGTTAATAAAAGTCTCGTTGTTTATCATTGTATTCACTGTTTGATAGTTAACTAAAGCACTGAAATTATTATTATTATTATTATGATTATAAATATCTTTATAATCGTATGCAATCATTATATATATCACGACATTATTTCATTCACAATTGTTGTCACAAATCTATTAAATTATAAATAAATATAGACTATAAAAATATATTTCCAAATTATTATATAATAAATCATTATTATAATAGTTATAAATAATATTATAAATATTAATCTATAGTATAAACTAGTATAGGGTAAAATTATTACTTGACTTTGCAATATAAAATACAATAAAATAAATATACAAAAATAATTTATATAATTTCATAATAAGTTTTATTCCAAATTTAATTAAAATTATTTAAATAGTTTTCAATAATATTTTCTAATTAAATAATTTAGCAAAAAAAACATAATAAAAATGAAGGCTAATTCAAATATTTGTTTAAAATTCAAAGAAAAATGTTTTTGATGTTTTAAATATTTTTAAATATTATAGTTTAAAACTATATAAATTAATATTATATTATATTAATATTTAATATATATAATTATTTTTTATATATAAATTATAACTAAATTCTAAAAATTGCTTATTTTGAATACCTTTTTGATTTAACAAAAAAAACTGACTTCAAACTAACAAATTTCTACTAAAAATTTTTATTCTTATATAAAAGCAAATTGAAAAAAATAATTGAAAGCTTTTGGGCAATAAAAAGACATTTATTAACTCTAAATATTTAAGTGTAATAATTATTGACACTTGTTTCACAATTTTATTTAATGCAAATAAATGGATTACTACTTGTATTTTATTTATTATAAATATTTATTAAAATGCTAAATAATACTATCATATATAACATACAACTAATATATAAACTAAAAGATTAGTATATATATCTTATTGTTAATATATTAGAATATTCAGATAATTTAATAAAAATATAAAATAAATTCTTACCTATTATTTATATATTATTTCTTAATTTAACTATAGATATCACATAAAATATATTTATGAATAATCAGAATAATATGATAATTTTTATTTATTTTTATATAAAATAAATAAATATTTTTATACGAAAATATAAATATATAATATTAATACAATATTTAATAACTTAATAAATTTTTAAAAATGTTGATTGAATAAATTTAATCAATTTTTTACCAACAAAAATAATAATAATTATTATAACTTTATATAAGTATATATTATGTAATTTTTTTTTCACTAATAAAAAAWTTTCAATTTATATCTATATTAATATGTATAAATATTTTGTTATTTGATAAATCAACAAGTTTAATTAAGTTGACTGGTAATTTTTATTGAATAATATTGTTATCATCCTCATCCTCATCACATTAAACTATATTGATTTATGACAAATAACTCATAGAGGGATAAAATGCTAAACTTATGTTTGACTGTTTGGCAATAGTATAGAGACTTTACTTGTAACGCGCGTTTATTGTACAGTAAAGTACAGTATATGCGTACAAGTGTATCCAAATTTTTTTTGTATATTTATTTATTTTTTATATTATTTATTGATCCATATGTTATTTGTATGTCGGAAAAATGTGCCCGAAATATTTATATATATAAAAAATTATATTGGACACTGTTAGTTATAAAACAGATATTTATTAATATTATATTAATCAAATAAAATAATAACAAAATAAATAAATAATAACAAAAGTAAACTAACAATCACGTTTTTCATACAATTAATACACAATACTAACAATATTACTGAATAAATACAGTAAACAGTAGTTAAAAATTTATAKATACCTTTATAAATGATAATAATTGACTGCTTTACTATTATATATATAATTACTGTTTTATTGACTGTTTTTAACATTAAGATATTTAATAATTTGTTTTTAAAAATAGTATAAACTTTTAAGCTTGACTTATGTATCACAAAATAAATTTAATCTCTAAAAAACTATGAATTTATAAAAATATTACATTTTATAATCTATTGTAAAAACACAAATATTCAATTTATATTTTATTGATTTAATTCAATAGTTGCAAACTTATAAAAAATGCTAAAAATAAATTAAATAATAGAAAATAGATTTTATAATACTATCAATTATTGTCATAAATATTATTATTACTATTACTATTAAATCTGTTATTTTCTTTAATAATAGTAACAGATATAAATATATTAAACATTTTATTTATTGATATATAAAATTATATATTACTTATTCATTATGTTAGATATCAAAATTTTATTTTATTTTTTATTTTTGTTTTTGATCCTTTATTCAAATCTATAATTAAAAAAATAAAATTTTTTTATTATTTAAAAAAATAGTAAATATTATATCATATTTTTGATAAAACTAAACTTTAAAATTTTTACTAATTTTTTTAAAATATCTTTATGATCTATATCAAAATGAATGCATATTTCTTATATTTTATTCATTTAAAAAAAATTTAATTTTTTTTTACTTTGGCCGCCATTTTGTTATATAAAATGAAATATCAAAATTTTAATTCAACTTTTCAATACATTATTAGTAAACATTTAAAAAATTGTTTAAATAGCAAAAAAATACACACACACACACACACAAAAAACTCGTATAGACTTATATAAAAAACAAAAATACAAATATTTTACTTATTTGATGTTTATATTATACTATTGATAAATAAAATCTTATTATATTATATTGATATAATAAATTATAAAACATTTGTATTCATTTATATTGAATTTGTATAATATTATTGTAATAAAACCATGACATATGACTATTTGACTATTAATAATAAAATTATAATACAATACTTTTCAATTTTGTTGTGGTTTATGTTAAAATCTAATTAAACGTAAAAAGTCATAGTTTTATTACAAACATAAATTTATTAGAAATAAGATAATTATTTTTAATAACTAAATCTATAAAACATTATCAATAATAATATACAGTACTGTATTTATAGAATAATTAAAAGATATAATAATTATTATAATTTATTAAATATAAATAACATTTAAATATATTGTTGTTTATGTTAGACAAAAATAATTGCTTC